AGATTATCACAGTCCTTACCTTGGAGAGGTGGACTAAATGTGATAACCTGAGTAGAGTGTAGAACAGTGCCCGCAGAGCAAGCTGATATCTGTTGTCCTGAAGCTTGAGTGTGTCTAGTAAGGCCTTTGACACCTAAACAGAGAGAGGCAAGGAAAGAATCAGTGGGATGACAGGAGATGAAGGCATCATCTTCATTATAAGCTGAGGCTTAGCTGGAGAATGTGGCTTAGGAGTTTTGGCAAAGAGGGCCTGCTGAGACTGTTCCCCTGATTTGAATTTATTTACACCCTGTGTTTAGGCAACTCTGGAGACTACCAGAGGGGTAGATGATGCATGTGGCCACTGGCTTCCAAAGGGAAGAGCGTGGGGCCCTGTGTAGGCCTGGGTCCCTTTCCCAAACTGCCCCACAAGGGGAAGTCTTCCCCACTTCCGTGCACCAGGGCAGGAGGCCTGGAACACCACCCCACGGTCATCCCAACTCCCCCCACCAGGAAACTCGAAGACCAAGGCAGTCTTTGGTTTTCTGAACGGGGTGCATTGTAGGCAGTGATTTGCTAGAAAATGCTAGGTATAGCAAATGCTGTACTGATCTCTGAGAATATAAAGCTGACATTATGACTCTATTGGGATTGAAAGCTGGGGACAGTTTATATGACTCCTCTTTTTCAATTTAAAAAAAACCTATGATAATTAGCGAGTTCTTGGAAATTCTGTGAGCAGAGGGCGCTTACCAGGGGCAACTGTGTTGACAAAATATTTCACCAGAGAAAGCCATCTTGACCCCTCCCAGGAAAATTTCTTCATCCTGTCTTGGTTTGAGCCAAAAAATACAAGCAGCAAAGCCGAAGTGGAATTTCACTTTAATCTTGAGCCTGTCTCTCTAATCATGGTGCTGGCCTTTAAACCAGGCTGAAGCACTTCTTGCCGATTGCTGCAGCAGTTTTTATGACAAGGTTCTTTAATGGTTTCTCACCAGAATTTGAAGTTACAGGACTTCCCTGGTGGTTCCAGTGGTTAGGAATCCACCTGCCAAGACAGGGGACGTGGGTTCCATCCCTCATCCAGGAAGATTCTATATGCAATGAGGCAGATAAGCCTGTGTGTCACCACTCCTGAAGTCTGAACGCCTAGAGACCTTTCTCTGCACCTAGAGAAGCCTACGTGGCCCCCACTTGCCGCAGCTAGAGAAAGGCCCTGCACAACAGTGAAAACCCAGCATCACCTAAAATAAAAATAAATAAAAAATAAGAAAAGAATTTGAAGCTATAAGTTCAGATATTCCCCTTTTGTCTTTTGGAGGGAAGGTGCAGGGAGACGTATAGGCCCTTGTTACCTCCTCCTCCTTTTTAGAAATAATCTTTCTTGGCCATTTCACAGCGGTCCATAGTTTAATTCATTCCCTTGTTGCATCCTCAGCCTTGGCTGTGCACTTGTGGCAGGGCTCTAGATGCAGAAAGAGTACACCGTCTCGAGAGAGAAAACCATAAAGCACTAAGGCGATGAGATTATTGGTTCTGTGGGGCACAGGAGGATGCCCTTGGCCCAGCTTGTGGGGCGCCATGGGCGGGGCAGGAAGAGTGGTCCAGGAGAAACATGTACAATTGTCATGAAGAATTGGCAGCCAGAAAGATGCTAAACACATCAACAGGTACTGATGCTGCTTTCCCAGAGTGGGAGCTCTTAGAATTATCTAGCGACAGAAGAGCTCTTCTGTCCTTAAAAAAATTCTCATCCTAAAGTGATCTTGCACTGAGTTAAACAAAACAGGCCCTTCCCTGGCAGTCCAGTGGTTAAGACTCCTCGCTTCTGATGCAGGGGGCACAGGTTCAGTCCCTGTTGGGGAACTGAGATGCCACGTGTCACGGGGAGTGGCCAAAAAATTGAAAAAAAACAACCCTATAACCAGCGAGTTGGCAGACACATCTTTGCCCTTCCATACTTTCACGTGTGCTACCACACAGAAATCTGCGTAAAGTTAAATAATCTGAGCAGAGCATGTGGCATCGACCACTAAATAGGTAATGACATTCATCTCACGGGTTGTTGGGAGGCTTGAATGAAGATAGCTAGAAAAAAAAAAGCCTTGCATGTGGCAAGTGCTCGAGCAGTGGTAGTTACAAAGGGAAATGAGAAACTAGGTACAGTTCCATCAGCTGTATTGATTCTGTGAGTTTGTCCTTTCTGCTTAGCTTTGGACCAGCGGTAACCACCCTCCATCATATCCCTAGAGAAAGCCCAGAACTTGTGTCACAGGATGTTGTTTCTTTTGTTTGATGCTTGTGAAAAACGGGCACAGGTTACAGGGTGTGGTTATATTATGGTTTTACTGGCACTCACTGTCCTCAGGAGGCCTCTGTCTACCCTCTTCCGAGTGGGCAGACCTCTACCCTTGTGTGTGCAGGTCACAGGGACACATCCTGCCAGGCTTTGTGGTCTGTGGGGACCGGGAGGACAGGGACCATGGCTGGTGAATGAGTGACTTGAAATGAGTCACCTGAGGGGCCCTTGTGCTAAATCCACTCCCCTACTGGTCCGCCCCTACCATCCAGCCTGCAGAGGGGTCCGCCTTGGGACTGTTTAACTTCTGATGTGACCCAGGTGCGCTGTGGCTGCTCTTTATTGTCCTTGACCGACAGACAAGCTCCCACTTTTATTTTATTTTTCCCTCCTGCCCTGTCTTTCCCGGTCTCTGGCTGAAGCCCGCTGACCCGTTGCTCTCATCACCACTGCCAGACGGTTGCTGCCTCTGCCATTGGTAGGCTTTTCATTTTTCGTCTCTTTTTCCTTTACCACTCCCCTCCCCTGTCATCACCTCTGCCTTTCTCAGCACGTGTGGGGAGTGGCTTCATCTGACCGTGCTTGTCTAAACAGGTGCCATCTTCCAGGTCTTGATGTTCTGGGACATTTTTGTCATTGCCTGTAGCCCAGGAGGGCTGGTTTTCACTGCTTTCTACTTCAAGTTCAGTTCAGTTCAGTTCAGTCGTTCAGTCATGTCCGACTCTTTGTAGCCCCACGAATTGCAGCATGCCAGGCTTCCCTGTCCATCACCAACTCCCACAGCTTGCTCAAACTCATGTCCATCGGGTTGGTGATGCCATCCAACCATCTCATCCTCTGTCCTCCCCTTCTCCTCCTGCCTTCAGTCTTTCCTAGCATCAGGTTCAAAATTATTCTAAATGTTTGAGGATGCTGGAAGTTTGATTTAAACAAAAATCAAAAAAATTATATCTATTCTGGGGTTAATTACAGTGCTCACTGCATGGAACTGGCTTTTTTTCAGAAATGACTTTTAAAATTTTGTTTTTGATGGTCCATTTCCCAGCTTCACTTTATTTAGTAAAGCTTCATTGCGTTAACTCTCTGTTAATTCTCACCATCTCAGTGAATATACTGTGTCCTTCGTTTCATCTAGTGAATACTCTGTCTTTGTTTAAATTCAGTATCTCTTTTTTGATTGCCCTAAACACCGCCTGAAGTCAGGAGACTTTTCCTCCCTGATCTTTGACCGTGGCTTTCATTCTGTCTTGCTGACTGTTGAAGCTTTTCCTGCCACACTTGTTTTAAAGACAAATTGCATATCCATTGGCTTGGAAAGGTGTTAAAAAGAGAGGACAGTTGATCTATTAGACCAGGGAATTAGAAGAGATGCTGAATGTTAGTGAATGAAACCCAGGTTTCATTTCTCGGGGGGCTGGATATCATGGAGGAGATTCCTACATTGGGTGGGCAGGAGGCCCAGTGATGGCAACGTTCCAGCATTGCCACACTCAGATTCCATGATTCACTGTTACAAGGAGAGACCATCTCGTTCTTCAGTCCTTCAGCTCGCTCATCCCCCTCATCCCGCTGGCTCTGCATGTGCCTCCTCTGGGTGTAGTTTTTATTCTTGACTTACCACCCTGACCTGGTCCTAAGGAGGAGTCTTGTGATGTGGTCTCGTTAGTTTCTCAGCAGCAGCACCTTCCTATTAGGGATGCAAAGATGGAAATGACCCTCTGACCTGTTTACCGTTCCTTTCACCGAGCTTGGTGTCCTCTCACATACTCTTCTCCTTTTCTCCTTTATGGGCAGTCCCCCCGCCGCCCGACACTAGCCCACCTCCTCTGCCATTTTTTATTTTCTGTAGATGAAAAATTGACTAACTTGCTAGTAGTCAGGGGAGGGCTGGGGAAGGTTGTGGGAGAGGCAGTTGGCTGCTGTCAAAAGCAGCGTGTGACCACGGAGCAAGATGAAGCTGCCCGGGATCATGTGAGGCTTAAAAATACTGCTCCCGTCCTAGAGGAGGGACAGCTGAAGGGCTCCTGATATAACAGAAATGGGAAAATTGGGTGGATCTAATTTTTAATTACAGTAAAACAACCTATCTCATCTCATAGACATTTGGCATCTTTAGAAAATTAATACTGTAATCCATCTTACCAGTAACTGTTTATTTTCGGTGATGACAAAAGCTGCTGACTGTTTTTGGAATTGAGAAGAGACGCTGCGGATGGCTGGTACAGACTGCTTGAGAGAAATGAGTGCACTGTACAGGGTGACTCACCTTGATGTGTCCATTGGTCAGGAAGCATTTGGAAAATCTGTGTAAGGCAGGTGGATGCATACCTTCCCCGGGGACCATCTCTCATTATGAGTTTGGACATTCAGTGTTAAATGCATATGACATATAATCCCTTTTAGGGGGATCTCTACCTGGGGTTTCCTGTGTGGATGCTGGTGGCTATACCTGGAACAGAGGGGGAGCAGGTTGGTGAATAATCTAGACATCGTCTTGCTCCTGAGAGCAGATTTCTTAGCATTTCTTAGGATTTCTGCAACCCAGTTGTAAATTTCAGGCAACGGCATATTTTGTAAGACTTCAGTACTTTTCACACAGGAAATTTAAGAAGAGTTTGAGTAGAAGATGTAAAGATGCAAAATGATATGCCCTGTGACAGTGGAAATGGAAAGTGTGATGGTATTCACTCTCTTGCACTCTTTTCCTCTCCTGTTCACTTAGAAACCTGATGTCCTGACCACTGGAGCCGGTAATCCAGTAGGAGACAAACTCAATATTCTTACGGTAGGGCCCCGAGGGCCCCTTCTTGTTCAGGATGTGGTTTTCACTGACGAAATGGCTCACTTTGACCGGGAGAGAATTCCTGAGCGAGTTGTGCACGCCAAAGGAGCAGGTGAGACCTGTGTTCATTTGCTGTGAAAGAACTGTTTCATAACACCTGGGTTAAAAATTACTTCTCAAAGGATCAGAGTTCCTTTAAGAGAAGTGCCAAATTTCCATTCGTTGGAGAAAGGCAAAAATGTCCGTCAATAGAGGAGTCAGTAATTAAATGATGGTTATTTCTCTGGATTGTACCTTCCATGTAAAATACTTAATTTTGCTGAAAACAAAAGTAATCTTCCTTTTAGTCCATTATGCAGTTTAGTAAAGAATGAAAAATATGGATATACAGACATAGACATACTATAATTATAACTGGATTAAGATGGTGCACCTAACTGGATAGATACTGGAATTAACTGCAAAGTCAATGACAGTTGTGTAAATGTGCTGGGTTTGTAGTGGTTTTTCCATTTTGTCCAAAGCTTCTGTAAAACTTTTATCTTGCTTTTATTACAGAAACAAAAGATGTAGATGGTATTTAAAAGAAAGCTAAAAACTCAAAAGGAGGGACTTCCCTGGCAGTCCAGTAGTTAGGACTCCAAGCTTTCAATGCAGGAGGTCTGGGTTCCATCCCTGGTTGGGGAGCCAAGATCTCAAATGCCACATGACATAGCCGATAAATAAATAGATTACTTAAATATTGTGAATCTTAAAAAAAACAAAAAACAAAAAACAACTCAAGAGGAAAAACAAAGTTTGATAGAAAGGAAGAAGTTTTGTTGGACTCCCCTTGAGGACGTCTCAATTTCTTTATTTCCTCTTCTACCTTCTGCAGCTTTTTTTGTGGGGCTGTTCCGTCATGACTTTGATATACTGTTCAGTTTGTTGTTTGGCTGTGTGGCGAGCTTCCTGAGTGCGTAGCCTTTCTGTGTGTTTTCTCCTCCTCTCTGCTTTCTCTCCTAGGTCCTACTTGGACCTGAAGGGCCTCTCAGACCCTGTGTTCTTCTGGCAGCCCTGACTAGTTCCTCCTGGCTCCACTCCACTCCTCTTTGGCTCCGGCTCTGGAGCTCTCAGCTTAGCCCTGAGTGATGTAGGGCTTTGCATTTTGCTCTCATCATTTTATGTTTGGCGATCTCCCCTTCTCCCATCATTGGAAGCTCCCAGAAGGCCAGTGCTAAGTCACCGGTTTCTCTTGTCACCCAGATCCCTATTGAGGGCCTGGCAACCTGAGTGATAGTCATGTGATGCTGATTTCTGTGGCTTTCTCCTTAGGGGCTTTTGGCTACTTTGAGGTCACACATGACATCACCAGATACTCCAAGGCGAAGGTGTTTGAGCATGTGGGAAAGAGGACGCCCATTGCAGTTCGCTTCTCCACTGTTGGTAAGTTGGTCTCTTTGCATTACTGGTGTTGCTTGACTCAACCCTGTATTTTATCTGAGGCATTTATAGCTTAGTTTCCAGAAAAAACTTACTAGACAATAGGAAACAAGCAGTTCTCCAAAGTATAGCAACATTTTAGAGTAGAAAAAATATTTTAAGACATGCAGAAAGCTACTTATAATTCTGTTTGTTGAGAGGTCTTAGGAAATCACACTTACGCAGAGCTCACGCCTGCAACTCTGTGACATTTGGAAAGAGTTTTTCATGTGAGTGGTTGCCTCAAACGGAACATGAAGTGGTAGTCTTACTCAATAGCCATGAGAACAACTGCCCTTTATTGAAGGTTAACTCTGTGCCATCCATGGTTAGTGTTGTACTGATACTGCTTATAATCTGTAGATGTATTAATGCTTTGCATGGTGGGGTTATTTCTGTTTCTGAGAGAGTGATTTTTCTCATGTTACAGAGCTGGTCAGAGTGAGAGCTATCAAATTGCATCTCAGCACACCACAATGCCTGATTAATTCTGCCTCTGCATTTTTTATAATACTGTGAAATGCAAAAGGAAATGAAATTAAGGATAAAAATTTTTGTCTTGACTCATTTTCTTAATATTAACCTCATAATTTTGACAACTTGCTTATTCTTTGTTCACTGCCTTAATCTTCATAATTATTCTCTTTCCTTATTTTACTTCAATTTTTAATTACCTGTTTGAACAAAGCTATCTTCGCTTATTTTAATTTAAATTTTAATTACCTGTTTGAACAAAGTTATCTTATTACGTTAAATGGATAATCTTTTCAGCTGTTATTATATATACTTTCTAATTTCTCTCAGCTAATTTCTTTGTTTACTTTTTCAGTCGAAATTAGCTGGTGGGTAGTAGAAATAATAACCCAGGCACTTAAATACCTAATGTACTTCTAGAAGTTGGGAAGGATAGATCCCAGTGTTTTTATGACTTGAGGCTTCCTGGATGCAAAGTACTGTAGTGGAGGCTTGATTTTCCCCGTTTGAATCTTCTAGCTGGAGAATCGGGCTCAGCTGACACAGTGCGTGACCCTCGTGGCTTTGCAGTGAAATTTTACACAGAAGATGGTAATTGGGATCTCGTTGGAAACAACACCCCTATTTTCTTCATCAGAGATGCCCTATTGGTAGGTGATGAATTATTTCACACCCTGCAGATATTTGTTGATTTAAATTGACTTCAAATACTCCATATAGATTGGCATTTGAGGGAAAGCAGAAAGAAGGGAACATGGATTGGGATTGGCTGGATTGCCTTTTACATTTTTTTCTGTTTTTTCTTTTTTTATAAGGTCAGATTACAACAATTATCATTAGTCTTAGTTGGGCATTTTGGGGTTTACTGACTTGATGGGAATGATCCAGTTTTCCTTACAGCAGTTGGAAAATGAATAAAAAGAGGCAGTCTGCTCAAAAACGTGTAGAGAGTCAATTTCATTTTAGGGTTTTACAGCTTAAAATTTTAAAATTGTATTGTTCAAAATGATAATCTGTAAACCTAACAATAGGCAATGTATGACACCATAATTCCTGTAAACTTAATTTTTGGATTTTTTCCCTCTCTTTTTCCATTTAGTTTCCGTCGTTTATCCACAGCCAGAAGAGAAACCCTCAAACACACCTGAAGGATCCAGACATGGTCTGGGACTTCTGGAGCCTGCGTCCTGAGTCTCTGCATCAGGTGGGAAGGCCTCTTTTTTTCACTATGTCGCCGGATAAGGAACTGTTAATTATGCCTCATATAGTTTTCTCCAGTTTTGGATATTTTATTAGAATTGATTTTTGACTTTCTTTTGGGGAGCCTTCCTCAGATTTCTTGGTCCTTGAAGAGTTTTATAATGACAATTTCATCTCTCCCCATTCATGGACCTTACCTGATACTAGAACCATTATCAATTGATATTTAACAGTATTAAGGATTAAAGTTTCTTGTAGGAAGTCTCTTTGTATTAGGGAAATGAGGGGAAAGTAGTACCAAACAAATTTTCTGTTAAATTAGAATGTGAACAAGTCAGGCTAGTTTTCAGATTTGTTTTAGCTTTTCTGTATAGAATTTTGAGTCAGGACATTAGTGACTTATGTTTAATCTTTCTGCTTTAAAATCTGTTTGATATTTTTTTCAAATGGAAACCCTTCCTGTGAGCTGGTATGTTCCATGTCATTAAGAGATCTTTCTGGAAACTTAGGACTGTCTTAAAATTATGTTTTTGATTTAAACTGAATAATTTGACCCTTGATTTTTCTGTTCCTTAGGTTTCCTTCCTGTTCAGTGATCGAGGGATTCCAGATGGACACAGGCACATGAATGGATATGGATCGCATACTTTCAAGCTGGTTAATGCAGATGGAGAGGCAGTTTATTGCAAATTCCATTATAAGGTACAGATCACCTTTGGCGAAGGGGGTGGAAGGCTCCTACCACCCACGTCTCCTTACTTCTCCTGAGGATTGGGCAAGGATCAAGGCCTGGCCTTCTCCACCTTCCCCTTACCTCCACCCCCAAGAATGACAAGTATTGATCTGGTTGATTAGGACTGTGATTATCTTATTGGCCACTGCCTGAGTAAACACTCAGGCTGCCCAGTTAGAACAAAGTAGTCTTTCTTTGGTCTCTTCATGTGGCTGAGGGTCTGAGCAGACAGATGCTATCAGTAGTCAGGCCTTTTCTTTCTGGACCCTGGGAGCTCTGCCATAAATATTTGGGCAAGTGCTCATTTTGTGCTGGCTCTCTAGTTTAACATTTCTGGTGCTGGCAGGTGCATACTGATATATATATATTTTTTTCCCCTGGAGAAGGAAGAGCTAAGGTTTTAGATCAAAGATAAAGAGATAATTGAGGCCTTCAAGCTAGGTAAAAGGAAATTCCTCCCTGGTTTAGCCTAGAGTTCTTTGTTGGAGTTTAGAGTCAGGTGTTAGCAAATAGTCAGGTGTTACGTTTTTGCTTTACCTTTCCTAGCCCTGAGTACATTGTTCTGAGTACAGATACTTTTGGGGTCCAGGAGGGCTTTAAGACAGAATTGGGACATTCTTGTTTGTAATAGCAATCTCTTTCTAATTTTCAACATCTGATGCTGTCTTTTCAAAAATATTTCTCCTCACTTTTAAATTCATCCATCTATTTTTTTTAAAGGATTTATTGTGAACACCACACATAAAAAAATCAGTTACAAATTTCAGGGAACAAAAATTGTTTTTTTCTTTCATAAATGAGATTTCTATTGGTTGTTTTGAGGGTTAGTACACAGACATTTCAGTTTGTACACAATTGTAACATATGTACCAAAAATCTAAAAAAAATCATGTAGTTGTGATTCTTTTCTAAATGTTTCAGTGATTTTCTGGCTTAAAATTTGGAGGCAAATTTTCCTTAATGGGATGTCAAGTACCAATATCTTCAAGTGTTAATATGCTGTTATATCATAAGTCCCACTAATTCACAATTTAATATCATATGCTACATACTTGAATTTTCAGTCATTCACGTTAACAAAGTTACTGGGAAAACTGGACTTCCACAACCAAAGATGTTATAGGGTGCATAAGATTCTGACAAGGAGAGCCAAGATCAAGGAGTGGTTTGCTTTATTAGGGAATAGTTCTACCAGAAACAACATAGGAGAGGTGATTTAAAGTGTTCAAGATATTAAGTGCTCAACTAACTCCAAAGTGCTATATAGTATGCTTTGCATTATAGGATAGAAAAGCTATCCCCATTTATGCAGTTGTTAAGCTGACACCCAAGACAATCAAAGCCTCCCATATTCAGTACCCCACTAGTTTCTGGTTGTACCAAAAAAATAACCAACCAGCAAATGATCTTATTTTTTTTTTTAAAAAGCATTTACACTTAAAAAAATTGGATGAGGTGGGATACTTTCCTCTTTTTTTTTTTTGAAATATCTATTTACTTCTTTGGCTGTGCTGGGTCTTTGTTGTGGCGCATGGGCCCACTAGTTGTGGCAGATGGACTTAGTTGCCCCACAGCATGTGGGATCTTAGTTCCCCGATCAAGGATTGAACCCACGTCCCCTGCATTGTGAGGTGAATTCTTAAATACTGGACCACCAGGGAAGTCCCAAGATTCCCTCCTTCTTAAAACTATTTCTAAAGCTACTAAAAAACTTGCATTTACCAAGTAGTTGATTAAAAAAAATCCCTCTGGATTGTACAAGAAGGGAGACAGGGACCACTGATAGGACTGGATGTGTGATATTAATCAGACTTGGCTTCTCTCTCTCCTGCTGCATCAGAGGCTGGGCTCTCCTCATTTTTTAGTGTCTCTGTTTTCTGCAGGTAAATCATCATCTTTAGTTTCTTGGTTAGCCACTTTGTCCTGTTTTCCCTTTGCTCCTCCCCGTTAGCCTTTTGTTGGCACGTTTTTGTCTGAAGATTTATCCTTTTCTGCTGCCTTTTGGGGCTTCATTTCCACTTTTGCAGGAGCAGGTTTAGCTGACAGCCTTGCAGATCTCTTGGGCTCCTCATTCTCCCCACCACTCCCCAGCTTCTGAGCTGACCTTCCTCATGGCAGCAGTGGGAGCTGGGGAGGTGTGCTGCTCCTCCAGCCCAAAATTTCTGGTTTTTTTTTTTTTTTTTTCATTTGCTTTCATACAGTCAGATCATATCAGTTACTTTGGGGGAATATTTTGAGAATCTTTTAATTGAGGTATTTCACGGGTTCTCTTAGTATGACTTTGGTGTTGGTTAGAATAAGTAATATTGCCAGAGAACTCTAGAAGGTTATTTTAAAAACCTCTGGTTGCTTAAGAACTTTTTTCCAAATACTGCTGCTAAAATAAGCAGACAGAAGTGGACTCATGACATATATAGGCTCCCACTTAATGATATCCCAAGGATCTATTTTCTTCTGTCCTATTTAACCATTATCTGAACAGCTTAAGTGGGTGTATCAAATAGGAAAACTGTCATCTCTGTTTATATTTATGACTTTGATCTATAATCTTTGGCAAGGAACAGTTACAAGAAATGGTTAACCCATTGGCTTGTAATTGCCAAAAGAAGAAGCGTAGTGTCACTTAGAGCAAGACTAAGTGATTGTATCTGGGACAACTAGTGTGGTCGTGGCTTTGCAGTTAGAACAATCTGAACTCCCATCTTCTTTCTTCTAGATAATTGTCTCTTGGCACATTATTAAAGGTTCTTCGAGCTCCAGTTTAGTCATGGTGAAATTGGGTAATAGTGCCAGCTGTCAGTGGCCCTGGAAAGATTGGGTTGCTTACAGGTCTGTTCAGCTGAGGGCTCTGAGGTAGCATGGGATCTAATAGATTCATCAGTTTGGATTGTTCTGACCTAAGGTCATGCTTTTCTAAACCCAGGGGATTCAGTTAAAATCAGAAAGGTATTGCAATAATATTGTGCAATTTAGTGTATTAGCTGGGTGATCTGCAGATGGTGACTTCCATTTTCTAATTCTGAAGATATAACAGGCTGAAAAAAATCTTGCCGCTGGCTAGAGAGAGCTGGAATTTCCGTGGTAGACATTGGCCAGCCTTCTAGAGGTGACTTTCGCAAAGGAAATATTTGCGTGGTATCTGACTTGTTGGAGATCTTTCAAAATAAGATAGCGGTGGGAACTCTATTAAAGAGCAGGATGGGATGATAATAGGAGCTCTGGTGAAAGTGACTTAATGTCTTTGGGTCTTAATGGCTTGTTTGAAAGTCAGAATATTAATACTGTTGGGTTGACCAAAAAGTTCAGTTGGGTTCATCTTATGGAAAGACTTGAATGAACTTTATGGCCAACCCAGTACTTTTGGTTGCTCATAGTTGGTGAACTGCTTGAGTGGCTATACTGAATTTCTTTTCAGCTCTATAAACTGTGATTCTGTGATTTCTTTAAAAAGAGTTAAAAAAGGAAGAGAGTTGGGGTAGAGGGATACTAGCTGAGCATAATCTCAGTAGTTGATTTGAGATATTATAAGACAGGGAATTTAAAAAATTACTTCATGCAAAAAAAGGAGGAAAGTCCTTTAATTTTATTAACCATTTGCTTACTTTTAAAATATATTTTGATTTTTTTTTTTCTCTGATCTGAAATAGCATGAGTATAAACATTCAAATAGTAGCCACTCTGGAAAACAGTTTTGAAATTCCTCGAGAAATTAAACATAGAATTACCATATGACCCAACAACTCCATTTATAATATGTACTCAGAGAAATCCACTGACTTGAACACTTTAAAATGGTTAAAATGATAAATTGTATGTTTTGTATACTTTATAGCAAAAATTGTTTTGATCTTGTCTGAAGACAGTAATGTAGCATTTTCTGTATGAGTGAAACATTGAAAGTGAACTATATGTCAACAATTTAAAAAATTCAAAAAAAAATTCAAATAATGTGGAATAAATAAAGGGAAAGAAAGACTAATTTTAAATATAAAATGTGTAGACAGATTCCCTGGACGTTGAAAAGAATCAGGATAAGCAAATAGAATTTCTTACTGATCAATTCATACTTGTGTCAGATTTGAAGAGGGGAGTTACTGTTAGAAGGAAAATCCAGTCTTTGGATAGTGTCACTCATAATCCCTCAATGAATTACTGATTGAAGTTTGATAACTTTGCCAGTAAGTTTCAGTTTGAGCTTCTTTGTTTTCTCCTGTAGACTGACCAGGGCATCAAAAACCTTTCTGTTGAAGATGCAGCAAGACTTGCCCACGAAGATCCTGACTATGGCCTCCGTGATCTTTTCAATGCCATCGCCACAGGCAACTACCCATCCTGGACTTTATACATCCAGGTCATGACATTTAGGGAGGCAGAAAATTTTCCATTTAATCCATTTGATCTTACCAAGGTGAGTCAGTTAACAACTAGATTGTTTTCTTTTTAAAGTGTCTTCACACCTAATTTAAAAAATTTGTACTCAAGCGTTTATAAATTGTGTACAAAACAGTTGGTGTCACCTAAGAGTTTCCTAGCCTGTGAATGAGGGCTCACCAGCATCTCCCTTCCAGTTCCTGTCTGATAACTTTACTGAGCTCATCTGGGTGGCCTGATACATTGTTATTAGCAGGGAACAAATTTTGATGAGGTGATGTACTTTTGCCCAGGGAAAATGTCAATATTTACTCCTGTTTACTGTTGCAAAAGATTCAACCAATGCACTCACATTAAGTTCTTACCATTTTATTAGATTCACAATGTTATTTTCACTTATTATCATTGGCTTCATTGTATTTGAAAGCTGATATTTTTATGAGTACTTTAATTTCCTTCTGTGTGTTGTCTGGTAATTGTGAATATGACATTATTTTTAGGTTTGGCCTCACGGCGACTACCCTCTTATCCCAGTTGGTAAACTGGTCTTAAACCGGAACCCAGTTAATTACTTTGCTGAGGTTGAACAGTTGGCTTTTGACCCAAGCAACATGCCGCCCGGCATCGAGCCCAGCCCTGACAAAATGCTCCAGGTAAACCTAGTTGATCGAGAGGTTCTGAGGCAGGAGTGTGTGTACATGCCTGTGTGCCCTTGCACGGGTGCGTGTGCACACACACACACACACACACAGAGTGTAATTTGGCTTGATCTTTATATGAAGAATTAACTAGGACATCACTTAAACCTTGGTCTGGGTCTTTAGTTCCTGTGGGACTGAATGAAACATCCTTAAATGAGTGTTAACAGGATAAAACAAATTTCATAGTGAGTCCCTCAGTATGGTAACTTTGATATTTAGGCTCTTAATTTAAAAGAAGTTGTAGCAGAAATATCTTAGGTATTTGTGGGATATTCTTTTTCAGTCTGTAATCAGGATGGGGAATACCCTTAATTGGTATTTCTCATGTAAAGAGAAAATGATGGCATGTGTTAAAAGAGACTCAGAGGTGATTTTTACAAGCTCAGTTTATGTTTCCATTGATTAAAGGCAGTGGGTTTTACCGTTTGTTTTGGTAATGTTCCTGCTGCTGCTGCTGCTAAGTCACTTCAGTTGTGTCCGACTCTGTGCGACCCCATAGACAGAGGCCCACCAGGCTTCCCCGTCCCTGGGATTCTCCAGGCAAGGACACTGGAGTGAGCTGCCATTTCCTTCTCTAATGCATGAAAGGAAAAGTGAAAGTGAAGTCTCTCAGTCGTGTCCAACTCTTAGCAACCCCATGGACTGCGGCCTACCAGGCTCCTCCGTCCATAGGATTTTCCAGGCGAGAGTACTGGAGTGGGTTGCTGTTGCCTTCTCCGGTAATGTTCCTAGGCATTCAGTATTTTTTCACCTCTTTCCAGTATGTTTTTTCAAGAGTACAAAGAGTAAAACATTCTTATCTGGATCAGAAATTAATGGGGAAATAACTGGCTTAATAATTATTGAGTAAGTCAATTTTTTGTGTTTTTAGACTATGATCATGGTACAAAAGTTAAAGTTTTTACCCAAGATCAGACCACAGTAACTGACGGCTATTTCTTATGTAAGTGTCCAATTCCAATTCAGGTGCCACTGTCCACGGAGGTGAACTAAGTTTCCTTTTTTTTTTTAAATAGTGATTTTTTTGCTTTGACATTGGGAACATTTGAACCTTTTATAGGAAATAAATTTATATTAATTTTTAATTTAATTTGACTGCTGTGAGTTGAATACCTGTCTACTGATAGATTGTTGTGGCTGCTGTAACAGGAGGCCATACAACAGGGAAGGACTATTGTACTTAGTCAGCCTTTTTTTTTTTTTTTTCTTTTATTCTTTTTTTTTTTCTTATTTTTTTTTTTCCATTTATTTTTATTAGTTGGAGGCTAATTACTTTACATCATTGCAGTGGTTTTTGTCATACATTGAAATGAATTAGCCATGGATTTACATGTATTCCCCATCCCGGTCCCCCCTCCCACCTCCCTCTCCACCCGATCTGGGTGCTCTGGGTCTTCCCAGTGCACCAGGCCCGAGCACTTGTCTCATGTACCCAACCTGGGCTGGTGATCTGTTTCACCCTTGATAGTATACTTGTTTCAGTGCTGTTCTCTCTGAACATCCCACCCTCGCCTTCTCCCACAGAGTCTAAAAGTCTGTTCTGTACATCTGTGTCTCTTTTTCTGTTTTGCCTATAGGGTTATCGTTACCATCTTTTAAAATTCCATATATATGTGTTAGTATACTATATTGGTCTTTATCTTTCTGGTTTACTTCACTCTGTATAATGGGCTCCAGTTTCATCCATCTCATTAGAACTGATTCAAATGAATTCTTTTTAATGGCTGAGTAATATTCCATGGTGTATATGTACCACAGCTTCCTCATCCATTCGTCTGCTGATGGGCATCTAGGTTGCTTCCATGTCCTGGCTATTATAAACAGTGCTGCGATGACTTAGTCAGCCTTTTGATGAGCATTTAGGAATTGTCCAAGGTTTCTTGAGTAGGTTAGTAATAGAGTCTGCGTGGGGCCTTAGGAAGAGTCTTTTGGCAGGAATATGTAGGGTGATGTTGTTGGAGGATGGCTTGGAAAAGGAGAGCCAGGGAGCAGGGCTTGGAAATTACTCTGATGGGAACTAACGCATGACCAGGTGGTAGTCATTGTACAGTAATGGACAGTGTTTTCAACATTATTGTTGAAAGGCAACACATTATTAAATTTTAAAACTTTGGGATGCATGGTGAAAAGCACTCAGTAGTATAACGTGAGTCCCAGAGACTGTCCCCTGAGAACCTGGTGATGCAGGGGCAGCCCTTCTTCCCGCCCATGCTTCACAGTTTATCAGGAGTGGAGAAGTTGACTGCTGGAGTGGGAGAGCTTTGCTCTGTTTTCTCACCCCAGCCCAGCAAGGAGCTCGGGCACAGGGCCCTGGGGAAGGCCTTCATTCAAGTTGGGGTCAGGGTGTGGCCTTGCTATATGCATTTCTCAGCCTTGGCTTGGCAGGTCTCTACCTGCAGGTGGGATGGGGATGCCTTATAAACACAAGGTGACACAAAACCAGAATAAAACAGAGGCTGTATCCAGGAGCTGCTGATGGCTCAGCTGTATCTTCTGTCCCATTGGTATAGGTAGAGCACAGCTTAGTCCTCTTTGGGCAGGAGGAGGCAACCAGCATCCCAACTACAGGTGCTTTTGTTCATGGTTGCATGGCCAGTCATCTGAATATTACTTTATTTTTAATATTTTTAAAGATTTTTTAAAAAATGTGGACCATTTTTGAAGTTTTTATTGAATTTGTTACAGTATTGCTTCTGTGTTCTGTTTTGGTTTTTTTGGTCGAGAGGCATATGGGATCTTAATAGCTCCCCAACCAGGGATCGAACCTGCACACTTTGCATTGGAAGGTGAAGTCTTCACTGGATTGCTGGGGAAGCCCCTGAATATTACTTTAGCTTCATGATTATAGGAGGTAGAGCCACTCAGCCAAGAGCAGATTATGGATGGAATAGCAAGACTGGACTAAGCATGTTGGCCTGAGTGATTTGGTACAAAATAATCACATCAGTGGCCCTGTTCAACTTGATTTGTGTTTTTGCTGGCCCATAGAATTAGTGATATAAGAATATTCTTTCAGGCTTCCCTGGTGGTTCAGTTGGTAAAGAATCTGCCTGTAATGTGGGAGGACCTAGGTTCGAGGCCTGGGTTGGGAAGAAGGGAATGGGTTGGAAGGGAAAGGGTTGGAAGAAGAAGGGAATGGGTACCCACTCCCAGTTTTCTTGCCTGGAGAATTCCATGGACACAGGAGCCTGGCAGGCTACAGTCCATGGGATTGCAAAGAGTTAGACATGACTGAAGTGACTTAGCATACACGCACGCTTGAATATTCTTTCAGATTCAAGGCCAATAATAAAGTCAATTAAAGAAACCTGCTTGTGAGTAGAGCTTTGAATAATGAGAATATTTAAATAATTGGATACTAAGATTTATATGGAGTTAATCATCAAGGTTTTTGTTTCAACACTAATTGAAAGAAATTGCACAACCTCCTGCCTTGGTAAATATGTGATTTAGTTTAGTCTTGATTCAGGGCCTTGTGTCATTGTAGGGCCATCGTCCCATACCATGACTTTCTTTGTGTGGTACCTTGTTAATATCTAGAAAGTCTCAGAGCTCACAGTGTATCTGACATAAACCAGGCTGCAACACAAAAGGTGTTTTTTTTTTTTTTTTTGAATAATTTCCTGTCCAGTTGGTTTTGGAGAAATCTTCTTTTTGTTAAGAGCAAATGGTTGACCCCTCCCCTGGAGTGAGAGAGTGGGGAGGAATGGAGTTAGTTTATGACTCCAGTTAGTCGGGTTCTAGCAAGTCTGTTTTGCAGTGTAATGTATTCTTGGAAACAAGAAATCATTTTTATTTCTTGTTTATTTTTTTATATTTTGGCTGCATCACTTACCATGTGGGATCCTAGTTCCCCAACCAGGGGTCACACCTGTCCCCCTTGCATTGGAGTCTTAACCCCTGGGTTGCCAGGGAAGTCCCCGGAATAAGAAATAATTCAAACCTGGGCACTAACTTATTGTTTGAGGAAAAAAGGAGTTACGATCAAGAAGAGATGTGAAGATTTGTGGCTCTTTGGCTGCACGATGTGGAAGATTAAGGACTGTTCAGTTAGGGAGCACTCATTTCGTGAGAGAGAAGAAACTTTGGTCTTCAGTGGGCAGACAGTCAGGGCTCTGGGGTCCTTTGTGTTTGACGCTTGCCAGTGAAGTTCATGGGCAGTTTTTCTCTTTTGTCTGTTACTGCGCATTGTCAGCGTCTGTTCCCTTTGTACCCGCAGGGCCGCCTTTTCGCCTATCCTGACACTCACCGCCACCGCCTGGGACCCAACTATCTCCAGATCCCGGTGAACTGTCCCTACCGTGCTCGAGTGGCCAACTACCAACGCGACGGCCCCATGTGCATGATGGACAATCAGGGTACGCCTCAGAAGGTGGCTTGCTCTGAGGGTGCCGGGGGGCGCTGCCGGGCAGGGGTTGGGGCGCCCCGTAAGCCCAGGGGTTTTCAGGCTGCCCCAGGGACATGCTGCTTGTGCCCACCACGTATCTCTTGCCCAGCAGTGAAGGTTTCAGTTGCCTGAGGACCCTCTCTACTTTTATCTATTTTATATGTTTTATTGAGAGTTCCCACCTCAGATTTTACTTGCTGTCCATCTGACAGTGAAAGGCAGGGAGAAAGATCTTTCACACTGGCTGTTGGCAGGGTATTATGCAACTTATGGAGCAGGTTTTTTTTTTTTAATTAATTAATTTTATCACTGACATTGATTTTGCTGTGTTTCTTGCCAGTCTTTTCTGAGAATATTTGTTACACATTTAAGATTAGTTTCCTGGGTGGCTCAGATGGTAAAGAGCCTGCCTGCGATGCAGGAGACCTGTGTTCAATCCCTGGGTTGGGAGGATCCCCTGGAGAAGGAAATGGCAACCCACTCCAGTCTTCTTGCCTGGAGAATCCCATGGACGGAGGAGCCTGGTTGGCTATAGTCCATGGGATTGCAAAGAGTTGGACACGACTGAGCAACTAACACACAAGATTAGCTTATATATAATTTTGTGCCTTGCATTTTGTTACAATTATTATCATTAAGCCTCTTCCAAATATTCAACAAGTTTACATGTTCACTAACTGAGTATATTGGGTGGTTGCAGTATTTCTGTGCTCTGAGGCTTAACACTTTCATGTATAATTGCCCAAAGTAATTGATACTTCTCTGTCTGTCTTCTGTGTTTTTATACTAAAGTGGTTTTTTTTTTCACTAATATTCCTTGATTTTTTTGTTGTTGAGACTGGTAGTATTAAGTGAAAGTTGCTCAGTTGTGTCTGACTCTTTGCTACCCCATGGACTGTGCAGTCCATGGAATTCTCCAGGCCAGAATACTGGAGTGGATAGCCTTTCCCTTCTCCAGGGGACCTTCCCAACCCAGGGGTTGAACCCAGGTCTCCCGCATCGCAGGTGGATTCTTTACCAACTGAGCTATCAGGGAAGCCCGGCCGTATTAAAGTGGTTCATGTATATTTGGGGATGTCATTAATAAGTAATTGCTTTGTGTTTACTATTCTTGTTTACTATTACAGTGGTGTACATATGAAGAAACTACTTTGACACACCTTTTGCCTAATTTTAAAAGTAGAACGTTTGAACAGTCCCCTTGCAGCTTAATGAAAAAGCTTGATCTTTCACAATAGTCAGTGACTTGAGGCCAACTCCGACTTTGAGTAAAGGTCAGAGCTTATTTGGAAATAAAATTTTAAAGTTACTCAAACTGGCACAGTTCAAAGAACTAATTCTTAGTACAGAAAATCACTGTGATGGCTCGTTATCAGAGAACTTTGCTTTTCACATGGATGTGGCTGACCTGGAATTAATTTCTTGGGCTGGTAACTGGACCCCATGGGAGTGGTGCCCCTGTCTTCCTATGTGCTTTTGATTCCTTTGTCAGTGTGATGTACATTGTGATGTATCCACCCAGAATTGTCTATTCCAACAGGGACCGGGGTAAAATTCTAAACCTAGACTGGTTTGTTCAAACCACTTGCTATGTTTTTTCAAGCCATCCTTTCTGTTTAGGCAGTGTGTACTCAGATAATGCAAGTTTCTGTTAACATCAGCTGAAGCAGAGTATAGTTGGGAAAATAAACATGCCAAAAGGAAAAAAAAAGCCTTATAATTTATTCCGGAAGTCTTAATACATGTTTTGATTACATTTGTCATTATTTTTCCTAAGTCCAGAGAAATCAGTGGTGACACATCAGAAATATCAAAGTTAAAAAAAATATTTTAAAAATGTATTTGTAGAGAGAAGCAAAAGTAAAGCTGTTGGGTTGGTTGGCCAAAAAGTTCATTCGGGTTTTTCTGTAAGATGTTAAACGGAGAACCCAAACGAACTTTTCTGACCAGCCCAATAGAATTAAATAAAGTCGTAGTCAGTAAAGGAAAGATACCCCAAGCATCTTAAACACCTTTAAGAAATAGTGAAGTGGAGTCCTGTGATGGGAATGTAGTATGTGCTGGAATGGAGAAGTCAAAAATTCCAGATTCCGGACCCAGCACTGACCACGACATCACCCTGCAGCATCTCAGGGCTCAGTCCGTGTGTCTGGTGACTAAAAGAGCAGAGCTGGAACTTTGAGCTGCTCCCAGGAATTCTGTGATTCCACGTTTGAACTACGCCCAGGCCCAATTGAAACCCTCCAATTTGAAATGTGTCTTTGGGTGTCATCGTCTATGGGGCCAAACCAAACTTATATACATATATTTGTCCTGGTAAGCATCAGAAGATTGTAGAGATGGGGCCATCTGAGTGTTCAAAGGGAACTTGAGATCTCTTCTGTGTAGACGCGGAGGGAGACGGACATGCGAGCAGATGACAGTATTCTCTAAGAATCTGGGTGCTGTTTATAGCTAAATATGGGGAGTTAAAAACAATATGTGCATGGCATGTGCACACACACACACATATATATAATTGTCACTTGAATTTGTTTCTTATTTTGTTGACTATTTGTAGACTTCATTTTTCATCTCCCCAAGTGAATGTATGTGGTTTTCCTTTAAAGGTGGGGCTCCAAATTACTACCCCAATAGCTTTAGTGCTCCCGAGCATCAGCCTTCTGCCCTGGAACATAGGACCCACTTTTCTGGGGATGTACAGCGCTTCAACAGTGCCAACGATGACAATGTCACTCAGGTAACGGCTCCTCTGTCTGTTGTGAGAGTTGCTTGGTCATCCTTCTCAATGTCTGCATATATTCCCCTTTTAAAGTGTCTAATACGTCTCAAATTGAATTCAGGGACAACATCTTTATTCATAACTCAGTTCCTGTATTAGATTTAGTTGAAAATAGAGTCTCAGATTATCTTTTTTTTTCATATGCAGATATCCAGCATTCAGTACTAAATTGTCAGCCATACCCAACACTTAAGACCTCATATCTGAAAAATCAAGAGGGAGAAAAAAACAAAACAAAATTGGCAGTAGAAGCAAACCTGCTAGAGATCCAGGTAGTGAAATTGTCAGATACAGGTTTTAAAATAAATGCAAATAATATTTTTAGGAAAATAGAAAAGAGATGACAACATGGAGCATTGTTGAGAACTTTAATCTATAAAAAAAGAATTGAGAGAACATCCCTAGCAGTCCAGTAGTTAAGACTCTGCATTTCTACTGCAGGGGGTGTAGGTTCGATCCCTGGTTGGGGAACTAAGATCCCTCAAGCTGTGCAGTGCGGCCAATAAAATAAAATTAAATTTAAAAAATTGAATGGACATACTGAACTGGAAAATGAACAACTAAAGTTAAACATTTAGTAGATGAGTTTAAAAGGTGATTAAACATAACTGAAGAGAGGATTACTGAACTGGCAGACAGAGCAGTAGATGTTATCAAGACTCACTCATGAAGGGAGAAAATAAGAACTTCCCTTTGTTATGAGAAACCATTTAGAGATTGAGAATACAGGCCACAGTTTGCTTTCCTCTAAATAACAAACAACACACGTACAGTACATATAAGGAACTTCCATACAGCAATAAGAAAAAAGTCAGACAAATGAATATAAAGAAAAATGGGCAAAAGACTTGAATAGGCACTTCACAAAAGAAGTATCCAAATGAGTGGAAAACATACAGAAAGGTCATTTATTTCACTAGTCATCAGGAATATACAAAATAAAACTAAAAAGAGGCACTACTACAAATGCACAAGAATGATGAGACTTAAAAAGACTGTGTACCAAGTATTTATAAAATAAGAAACAGCTCTCACATAAGTGTAAATTGGTTCAGGTGTTTTGGAGACCTGGTTGTCAGTATCCACCGAAGCTAAACATGTACGTGTCTTTTGACCTAGTAAGTGCACTCTTAAACATAGATTCCAAATAGAAATGTGTACATATGCACAGCAGGAGACAGGTACAACAGTTTGTTCATATCATCTAAGTGTTCATCAACGAAAGCTTGGATAAATAAACAGTAGTATATTCCCACAGTGTACAGCAGCGAAAACTAATGAAGTATTCCAACAAGCAGTAACACAGATGAATCTTACAAACATGAAATTGAACAATAGAATGAGAATATAGACCACGTGATTCCATTTGTGTACATTTCCAAGAGAAGTAAAGAGAAACATTTATAATAATAGAAGTAAAACGATTGGGGAGTCAGTTGGAGAAGGGGGACTGGGAGGAGGGGTATGGTAGGGGCATTTCTGAGATGTGAGTGGTGTTCTCTCTTGATCTGGGTGGTTGTGACACATCAGTGTCCCCTGAAAAATCACAGTGAACTTCACACTTATGTTTGGTACCCTTACTGCAGACATATTACACTTAAAAAGAAAAAAAAGTCATTCTCTCATTTTGTGTAGACTATTAAAAATGTCACTTTTTTGTTAATAGGAATTTGGTCCTGCTCTTAAAGGTCTGTGGTTAAAGTGTTGGAGTGGGTAGATTAGCTCAGCATCCTCATCTGGTTATAGAGTGGAACAGCTGTCTCCTCTGTGGAGTCCATGCCCTCCTATAGTGAGCAGCCGAGCTGTGTGTGATTGGTGGTGGTTAGCCAGGCATGTGCTGTGCTGGGCTTAGTCGCTCAGTCGTGTCTGACTCTTTGCGACCCCATGGGCTGCAGCCCACCAGGCTCCTTTGTCCATGGGATTCTCCAGGCAGAAATACTGGAGTGGGTTGCCGTTTGCTACTCCAGTAGATCTTCCCAGCCCAGGGATCGAACCCAGGTCTCCCAAGTTGCGGGCAGATTCTTTACTATTTGAGTTATTAGAATTTATGATGTGGCCATTCAGACTGGAGTGGGGTGATACCTCATTGTAGTTTTGATCTGTATTTCTCTAATAATTAGCAATGTTCAGCATTTTTTTCATGTCTGTTGGCCATCTGTATATCTTCTTTAAAGAAATGTCTAATTAGATCTTCCCACATGCAGTACTTTGATTGGATTATGTTAATACCTAAAACTCTAAAGATTTATAAACTTTAATATAAGATTTAAAGTTTGCTCAAATTTTAAAAATAGTATTATATTCTGATGTTTGGTAACTTATAAAAACTGTAAAGTTTTGATATTTTATAAATTTGCTACCTTGGATAATTTGATGTTTTTGGATTTTATAAACATTAGTAGAACAGTACATAGAATAGTGTCTGGTGCATTATAGGTATGTGAGTAATAAATGTTTGCTCAATGAATGAATGAATGAAATGTTGAATAGAGTCAGCGATAACTGAGAAATGGCTGATTTCAGAAATGAGCAGAGGCTGTTAGGACTCATATGTATTACTTTGCTCTAACTTTTAATTTTAACCTTCTCATGTTCATTTTAGAAGTAAACTCAGTAATGTAAGCAAAATACCACTATTAACATCTGTCTTTTCTAAGAAATCTTGGCTTCTGGGTAGCTACGAACCTAATTATGAGTTAGGGTGTGTCCTCTTTGGTTCTTGGTGAACTGAACAGAGGTTGTATTGTGCTCAGCTTGCATTTGATGACAGCACATTCTGTCCTTGTCTGTATTAGGGTGTGGTGGCATTTTTAATTGTAGGCTACACTGCCTTTTATTTATAAGAGATTTATAGGCAGTGACCACAAAAGACATTATTAAAAAGAAATTATGAGCTATTATCTTCCTTTTTTTTTGGTTCCTCAGTTCCCCGACCAGGGATTGAACCCACGCCTGCCACATTGGAAGCGTGGAGTCTTAACCACTGGACGGCCAGGGAAGTCCCGTTATCTTCCTGTTAGACTTAAAACAAAAAGTGAGGAACTCAACATGTGACAGTTTCATCAATGGTTTCAAATTCTTCTTAAATTGCAAGGCCTTTTTTCATTCTTATAGCAATGAGAAATCTTGCGTCTTCATTTCAAAAGTGGGGCTTGGGGTCAGTTTTGTTCGTGATAAAATAGTTGTCTGATTCCCTGCCCTCTGTTTTCAATGAGCAGGTGCGGGATTTCTATTTGAAAGTACTGAATGAGGAGCAGAGGAAACGCCTGTGTGAGAACATTGCAGGCCATCTCAAAGATGCACAACTTTTTATCCAGAAGAAAGCGGTGAGTGATACTTTGTAAGCCAAACAGTGTCACCTGCTGGCAGGATGGGAGAGTGCAGCTGTGGGAGAAAAACCTTCAAAAGAAGTGTCATTTCTATTTTACTTGAGTTAAGCAAACTTAAAAAAAATTCATATGACTCCTCAGTCAACCTCTGATTCTGTTCTTTCCATGGCTTACCTCCAGTAGATACACCATATCCGTTAATCGTTTACTCTTTGTCCAGTGTGTAATAATTTAGTTAAGGGCCAGTTGTCTCCTAATGCTATTCAATCTGACTGTAGCCAAGTTCCATGTTAAGAGAGTAATGTCCAGTTTCAAAATGTGGGTCCTGCCACAGTTTTGCTTAGACTGTAGATGATAAGAAATATAGATTACATCTTTGTGGTTTGAAGTCTGCCTGACGACTCGATGTTATGATACCCAACCTGCCTTCAGAAGCAACTAGAAACATGCAGTTTTCTGGGGTAAAAACTGAGCTGCTTCCAAGGCTCAGGCTGACCTTTTGAGCGAAGGCGTCCCAGGGAACTCCTGATGGTAGCTCGTGCTGTGTGCTTACTGTTGGTTTCCTGGCTGCCCCGGGCTCAGCCTCTCATAAATTTCGGAACCGCTGCCCTTCCCTCGGCTCTTGGCTGCCGCTTCTCTGTTCATAAGGGCAGCTCTGGGGCGTGTTCTAGGCACTTTCTCTGCAGGCAGAGCGCTATAAGCCGTGTTTGATGAGCATGTGTATGAAAGATAACCCTTTGATTCCTTGCACACTGGTACTTCTCGCTGTCTCACCCAGGCAGAGAGCCTGACAGTTGCTCTTTGAGATAGATGGGCCGGGTTTTTTCTCATCTTTCTTAGAAGAACGAGTAAGACTGTTTGTAAGCAGAGAATTGGGCTCAAACTCTTGGCCTTCTCCTTTCACGTACGGTAAAGCTGCCTGGCCTCTGTGGGTTCTTGATGTCCTACCTCCTGCTGTCTGCTAGGGATCAGCCCCTGGTCAGGAATTCCTTCTTGAAGTGTGCAGAGCTGCCCAGTACGGGCCGGCGTTTGTACACCTCACTTTATTTTCTATTGGCATATAACTGCTCTACAACGTTGTGTTCGTCTCTGCTGCACAACAAAGCGAATCAGGTGCATGGATGCATGCATCCCCTCCTTCTTGAGCTACCCTCCAACTCCCGCCCCCATCCTACCTGTCTAGGTCAGCGCTGAGCTGAGCTCCCGATGCTGGACCGTAGCTTCCCACCAGCTGTCTACCTTATACCTGGTGTATACAGCTAACTGTAAATTCAGGCAGTGTTGGGGCCCGTTTGCTAATACAAATCACTGTAACTTGCTGCATTCCTCCGAGGTCCGCTCTTTACCTGCTGTAAATAGAGCTCACCTCCTAATGCATTTTTCTCACCATGAGAGGTAGATTTAATCGACTCATTTGTTTTTATGGGAGTGGATACTGAACTCTATGAGGTAGACTTGACTGTCTCACCTATTCCATGAGGAGTGGGTGTTGAAGCTCAGGCGAATGACTTATCCGGGGTTGCTCAGCCAGTACACACCCAGGACCTAAGTCCCACTCCGTGTTGTTAAATGCCGTGCGGCTCTGCCTCCTGTGGACGCGTCCCTCGTCCCCTCTGGAGTGAGGCCCGTGAAGCAGACACTCGGGACTGGTGTGAGGGGGCTAGGGTGATGTTCACATGGTTTTCGTTTGGTTTTCAGGTTAAGAACTTCAGTGATGTCCATCCTGAATATGGCTCCCGCATCCAGGCTCTTTTGGACAAATACAATGAGGAGAAGCCGAAGGTGAGCCCAGAGCAGCCCGGCTGTGTGTGTGTGTGTGTGTGTGTGTGTGTGTGTCGTGGAGAGGCACAGTGGGGTTTTCTCTGACAGTGATTCTCCTCAGGCAGCCGTTCCGTTTCTTAAGCAGCTGCTCACAACCTCAGCTGAGACGTAAAGAGCTCACCTGGAAAGTACAGCCTCTTCATTTAAGCCCTGGGCCACATAAGGTTCGGGGGGGGGGGGGGGGCGGGTGTGTGTCCATGTAAGATTCTGGTGTGTGTGTGTGTGTGTGTCCATATAAGATTCTGGTGTGTGTGTGTGTGTGTCCATATAAGATTCTGGTGTGTGTGTGTGTGTGTCCATATAAGATTTCTGGTGTGTGTGTGTCCATAAAAGATTCTGGTGTGTATGTGTATGTGTGTATGTGATGTCCAACTCTTCGCAACCCCACCAGGTTCCTCTATCCATGGGATTCTCCAGGCAAGGATATTGGAGTGGGTTGTCATCTCCTACTCCACAGGGGCTGTAGTCCATAGGGTCGCAAAGAGTTGGACACAATTGAAGCGACTTAGCACATGTGCTTATAAGACAATCTAAGGTGGACAAATTCTGCATTGTTATTTTCATTTGAGCACAAATGAAAGCAGAAATAAGTACTGAGTCTCTGCCCGAGTGAGTTAATTAACCTGCTGGTCTTGCCCTTTTGAAACAGAACGCAGTTCACACCTATGTGCAGCATGGGTCTCACTTGTCTGCAAGGGAGAAAGCTAATCTCTGAGGGTCGGGGCCCCTGACCCTGCGCCACGTTGCCGTCCGCTTATGAAGCAAAGCATGCTGTTCACACCTGTACCCACTGATCGCTGGATGGAAGATTCTCCTGTGCCAGACGTGCAAATGCAAGTTTGTGTCTGTAAAATGATAATCCAGATTTCTATAGCAAATGATGTAACAATGGCTTTTAATCCTACTTTCCTGTGGGTGAATGAAGGTTAGGGCTTAACAATCTTTTAAAAGAAACATGTATTTGCTTTTGACAGCTGATTATTCACTTAAAATGACTACAATGAAAGTTTCTAGCAGAAATATGATTTTATTTGACAAGAAAAAGTCTTGGTGACATTAATGTTTACATATCATCTCATGGCCTATTTTATAAAAATATGACTAATTATATAAGAGGAAAAGATAAAGATAACTTACTGAGAAATTTCAATTTTTCTAAGTTCCCATGAGGAAGAACACATTGGTGTCTTTTGAAAATAACTTCAGCACCATCATGGCTTGATGTTTATTCCTGCTTTGAATTAATCAGATTTTTAAAAACTTGAATTACATTTTTCCTGATACAGCACTGATTTTGCAGTGGGCTTATTTGTAATTGCTTTTCTTTTTCCAATAAAATAATCTGTAAATAAAAATAGAAGACTGGTGTTTGATTTCTTTAGTCTCCATATATAACTTGAAGTGTCTCGAGATTCTTAATCTGAATATCATGTTATTAGATTGTTGTTGTTTAGTTGCTTAGTCATGTCCAACTCTTTTGCAACCCCATGGACTGTAGCCAGACTCCTCTGGCTACAGAGGAGTAGCAAGATCCCAGGATCTTGCCTGGGATTTCCCAGGCAAGAATACTGGAATGGGTTGCCATTTCCTTCTTCAGGGGATCTTTCTGACCCAGGAATTGAACCTGGGTCTCCTGCATTGGCAGGCATATTCTTTACTGCTGAGCCACCAGGGACGCCCCCTGTTATCAGATACTTACCCTTAAAATTGAAAATACTGGTTTCACAAGGATAGTGTATTATTTGTTTAAACCAATAGCCTTTATATACAGCTTCTGAGGTACAGGGGACCAGAACTTTATTCTATTGGGAAAAACAGCAAATTTCCCAGTTTTGAAAGTTACTTAGGGGTCCTGGAGCAGATGAGTGCAGAATATTTAGGCGAAAACATGAGGAGGGGGTGGGATCGCAGGGCAGGAGGAGTATCTCCGCCAAGAAAATTATGCATGCGTTAGGGAAGCTCTGAGAGAATGGCTGTGGAAGGTCTCCACTGTGGTTTGAATCCACGGGGAATTGATCACCCTGCCCATGGTGAAGGTATTAAACTACAAATTGAAGGCGAAGGTGTTGAGTCTCAATCCATTAAAAATAAAACTTTCCAGAAGGTGCTTGACCAAAAAGGAACCCCCAAGCGACTGCAGACAGAAGCCGAGACAACTAAGTCGGCTACGGTGAAGCTGTCAAAACCAGTGGCCCTGTGGACCCAGCAGGATGTCTGCAAGTGGCTGAAGAAACATTGTCCGAATCAGTATCAGATCTACAGTGAGTCATTCAAACAGCGCGACAGAACTGGGCGAGCCCTGCTGAGACTTACAGACAAAAAGCTTGAGTGAATGGGGATCGCCCAGGAGAACCTCCGGCAGCTCATCTTGCAACAGGTGCTCCAGCTGAAGGTGCGCGAAGAAGTCAGAAACCTACAGTTACCCAGCAATCCTCAGCCGAGGGTTCTCCATAAATGCAGTTAGCCTTCCAAGCTGCTGTCCTGCCAGTCAATACGAACATGGCCTGTTCCTCACAGAAAGACTAACTCATGGTACTGCCAGAAGATATCCTTGGAGCATTGACAGATTAACCAGATTAACTGAAAAACCACCCAGTCAGTCAAGATTACCGGCTTTGGGAAATCTTTGCTCTGGATTTTTAAACGAGGTGCATAATAAACAGTGCCAACTTGTTCCAAGTGGTCATTGGCAGACCATTAGCTGGAAAATTGCTTCCAGGTCCTGTTTTAGCATGGCAACTACTGGACTATTTTATTATGTGTGCAGATGGCATGATGTGTTAGAAAAAAAAATTACAGCAGTCCTGCAATCTCAGTGGAAGTGTTCACAATATTATGCCCTGGTAGGAGTATAAACATGTCTCGATTGTGTTAAAAAAAAAAAGAAAGTTACTTAGATCTCCTGTTCATTAGCTTGCTTCTTTTTATCTGATTATGAGTTTTAACGTCTTTGAATTTTATTTTTCCCTTTCTTTCTTTCCAGTTTTATTGATATGTAATTGGCATAGAGCACTGTATAAATTTAAGGTGTACAGTATAATGATTCAACTCACATAAATAATGAAATGGTTATCACAATAAGTTTAATTAATGGGAATTCCCTGGCAGTCCAGTGGTTAGGACTTGATGCTCTAGTCATGGGCCCAGATTTGATCCTTGGTTGGGAAACTAAGATTCCATACGTTGTGTGGTGAGGTCAAAATAATATTACATTAGTGCAAACGTAATTGTGGTTTTTTGCATTGTTGACATTTGCCGTTTGATGTTGGGATACATTCTTAATGTGATTATGTTATACATAGTTTTAATGTGCATTTCTCACTTTATTTTTTGATAATGATTTATTATTTGCTCTTTATTTTATATTTACATTAGACTATGGAAATAATGTTAGGCAAAAAGCAAATTTGAGGTATTTTCTTATTTGAGTTCAAAATGGGTTGCAAAGCAGCAGAGACAGCTTGCAACATGAGTAATGCACTTGACCCAGGAACTGCTAACGAATGTACAGTGCAGTAGTGGTTTTGCAGAGTTTTGCAATGGAGATGAGAGCCTTGAAGATGAGCGTAGCAGCCAGCCATCAGAAGTTGACAACGACCAATTGGAAGGATCATCGAAGCTGATCCTCTCACAGCTACCCGAGAAGTTGCTGAAGAACTCAGCGTCAGCCATGCTGTGGTCGTTCAGCATTGAAGCAAATTAGAAAGGTAAAAAAGCCTAATTAATAAGAGGGTGCCTCATGAGCTGACTTTAAAAAAAAAAAATCATCGTTTTGAAATGTCATCTTATTCTTCGCAACAACAACCATTTCTGGATCGGACTGTGACGTGTGATGAAAAGTGGATTTTATATGACAGCCAGTGACAAACAACCAGCTCAGTGGTTGGACCAAGAAACAGCTCTAAAGCACTTCCCAAAGCCAAATTTGTACCAAAAAAAGGTCCTGGTCACTGTTCAGTGGTCCACTGCTGGTCCGATCAACTACAGCTTTCTGAATCCCAGCAAAACCATTACATCTGAGAAGTATGCTCAGCAAATTGGTGAGATGCACTGAAATCTGCATTTTGCAGGGACAACTTTTTGCAGGGAAAATGCTTCCATAGCTAGCAGGATGCAGAAAATACCTTCCAAGAGTTTGATGAATCCTGTAGCATGGATTTTTACGTTACAGGAAGAAGCAAACATTTTTCATTGGCAAAAATGTGTTGATTGTAGTGGTTCCTATTTTGATTAATAAAGATATGTTTGAGCCTAATTATAATGATTTAAAAATCACAGTCTGAAACCGCAGTTATGTTTGCACCAACCTAATAATTTTAGTTAACATTTGTTATCTCATATAGATCCAACACTAAAGAAATAAAATTTTTTTTTCTCATGAGGAGAGCTCTTAGGATTTACTCTCAACAGCTTTCATATATAGCATACAGCAGTGTTAATGACATTTATTGTTATTTTTCCCTTTATTCTGTTCCCTTTTATTGAAAAAATGTCTTTTAAGAACTGCCTTTACTTGCTATCTTCACTCTCTCTGTCTTTCCTTGAACCTACAAGCAGACTGCCCTTGTCAAGGTCACCAGTGACTTCCATGCTGCTAAAATCCAGTGGTCCCATCAGGAGTCCCACTTCTGGGTATATCCCCAAAAGGGGTAGAAGCAGGGACTTGAAGAGATATGTGTACGATGTGAAGTATTATTCATCAGGGTCAAAAGGTGAAACAACTTCAGGGTTCATTAATAGGTGAATGGATAAACAAGATGTATATCCAGATAGTGGAATATTATTTAGCCTTAAGAAGGAAGGAAATTCAGCTGCAATGTGGCTGAATCTTGAAGACATGCTAAGTGAAATAAGTCTGATACAGATGGACAAGTATGGTATGACTCTACTTATACGAGGTACCTAGAATAGTCAAATTCACAAAGACAGAAAATAGAATGGTGGTTTCCAGGGACTGGGGGAGAGGGAAGTGGGGAATTCTTATTTAATAGGTATAGAGTTTCATTTGGAAGATGAAAAAGTTATGGAGGTGGATGGTGGTGATGGTAACATAACAGCGTGAATATATTTGCTCCTGAACTGTATACTTAAAAGCAGTTAAAAAATGGTAAATTTTATGTATGTTTTGCCACACAACACACGTACACACACAGGCCCAAAGCCCAAAGTCCATTCTCATCCTTACCTTCCGTAGCCTCTTGGCTGTGTTTGACACAGTTGATCATTGACGCTTTCTTTTAAAAAAGAAACCCAGGTGTTTTTTGGTGATAGACTTCACATACCATAAAATCCATCCATTTAAAGTGTATGATTCAATGGTTTTTAGCATATGCACAGAGTTATGCAGTCAACATCACAAATCACAATAAATTTTAGAACATCTCTGTCACCCCCTAAAAATCTCTGTACTCATTAGCAGTCATGCACCATCCCCCCCACCAACTTAATCCTGCCCGATAACCCTTGGCCATCACGGATCTGTCTATAGATTCGCCTACATTGCACATTTTATCTAAATGGAATCATAACATGTGATCTGCAGTGGCTGGCTTCTTTCACTTAGTATAATGTTATCAAGATTCTTAGATGTTTTATCATGTATCTGTACTTCATTGCCTTCTGTTGCTAAATAATATCCCATTGTATGGATAAACTGTGTTTTAGTGATCCATTCATCAGTTGACAGACATTTGGGTGGTTTACACTGTTTTGGCTACTATGAATAATGCTGCTATGAACATTTGTGTATGTGTTTTTGTGTGGACATGTCTTTTCATTTCTCACATTCTCACCTTAAAAGACATTTTCACTTACCTTCTGACGCACCACTCTCTAAAAATCTGCTGGTAATTTAAAATCTGTTATTTACTGTTCGAAAAGGAGGGTTGGTCTGGACTTAGGGAAACATTGAAGAATCATCTTGTTGCTTTCAAATTCAATGTCAGAATTTTAGTTTAAAGTACATTAATTTTTTCCCTTCCCCAGGTGAAAGGGCATGACTCTTAATTTGTAAGCCCTGCTATAGAAATGAGTTTTCAAAATTTCTTAACACTTCCTTTTCTGAAAGAAAAACAATGGGCAAGCTTCTTGGCCATTTCTTTGCCTCTTAGCTCATGATAAAGGCAAAGGGCCAGATTCTATTTTAACCAATCTTATAGGGCACACTGAAGGCTTTAAAATTGTCATCAGAGCTTTTAAAGATGTGAAAGGTCAATAGATGTGAACTCAAAAAGTTCTGTATACTTTTGAGTTTTTGAGAATTTTAATCACTCACATGTAGAAAGCTCGACTGTGGTCTTTTTTTTTTTTTTTTTTTAACCTTTGGCTGTTTGGTCAGTGATTTTTGCATTGTCATTTTAATTTTTGTTGATTTGCTTTGTTATTGTTTGTTTAAATGTGGTGTTTTAAATATCCCTTGTATTTTCTGCTCTGGAATGAATTACATTATGAAAATCTATGTTTAAGTAAAACTCACATTTTAAGGAGTACAGTGGATTGAATGATGGTCCCTAAAATAATCTATCCATATCCTAACCTCTGGAACCTGTGAAGGTGACTTTATTTGGAGAAAAGGTTTTTGCAAATATCTCCAGATGAGATCTGGCTTCCCAGGTGGCACAGCGTAAAGAATCTGCCTACCAATGCAGGAGACATAAGAGACTCCTCCTATGTGGGTTCGATTCTTGGGTTGGAAAGATCCCTTGGAGAAGGAAATGGCAATGCACTCCAATATTCTTGCCTGGAGAATCCCATGGACAGAGGAGCCTGGTGGGCTACTGTCCATGGGGTCACAAAGAGTTGGACACGACTGAGCACGCACGCATGGCATGGCCAGGTGAGATCATCCTGGACTGGGTCCTAAACTCCAAGGTCAGCTTTTAAGAGACCGAAGGACAGGAGAATGGGCAACTCCTATGTAGACGGAGGCAGAGACTGCATTTTTACAGCCACAAGTGAAGGAACCCCTGGAGACTGTAGAAGCTGGAAGGGGCCAGGAAGGGGTCTTCCTCAGAGCTTATGGAGAGTGCGTGGCCCTGCCGATGCCTTCATTTTGGGCTCATCCCCCAGAATTGTTAGAGAATGAATTTCTGTAGTTTTAAGTCACCGAATTTGGTAACTTTCGGGCAGCCTTGGAAACTCATACAGAGACAGAGCTAGTTTAATGGTTTTACAGAAGGAGAACTTTTTGAGTAGCAGAGGGATTCATTTTTTTTGTTCTTTGAATCACCTGAGGCCCACCTGCAGTGGGGGGACAGAATCTCTTAGGTGGTGAGTGTACAGTCCACTGCTGCCTGCCCGGCCCCCACCTCAGTCCCTGCCATTCCCCAGAGCTGTTTGGTTCTGCTTTTTCACTGCCAAGCCCGTAGCCTGAAAGCTCTCAGCTCCCCTCCTGTTCGATAATTGCCAATTTCCTGGACAGTCTCTTCTTTCTACTGGACTGAGAGGCTTGATCCAGTGCATCAACATGGTACTTCCCTCTTCACCTGGCTTGGACAGGGGTCCCGATTTCAAAATGTAAAACCATTCTGGTTACATGGGAAAAAAAAAAAGTGAATAGGTGCAGCCATCATGGAAAACAGTATGGAGGCTTCTCAAAAAAGAAAAAAAAAAAGAAAACTACCATGTGACCCAGCAATTCCACTCCTACATATATATCTGAAAAAAAAAAAAAACACTGGCTCAAAAAGATGCATGCGCCTCAGTGTTCAAAGCAGCATTGTTTACAATTGCCAACATAGGGAAGCAACCTAAGCGTCCATTGACAGAAGAGTGGATAAAGATGTGGTGCATATATACAATGGAATATTACTCAGCCATAAAAAGAATGAAATTTTGCCATTAGCAGCAACATGGATGGCCCTGGAGATCATTATGCTTAGTGAAATAAGTCAGAGAATGACAAGTACTGTATGATATCACTTACTTGTGGAATCTAAATAATACAACCAACTGGTGAATATAATAAGCAGACTTACAGGTCGAGAGAACAGACTAGTGGTTGCTAGTTGGGGGAGGGGGCAAACCAGAGGTGGAGGAATGGGAAGAACCAACTATTGGGTGTAAAATAGGGTACAAGGATGTATTGTGCAACAGTGGGAATATAGTCAGCATTTTGCAATAACTGTAAATAGAGTGTAACCTTTAAAAATTGTATTAAAAAAATTAAAAAAACAACCACCTCACACCAAACAGGGTACAAAGTTCAAGGTATGAGGCAGCATGAAGTGGTGGCCAAATGCTCTTCCACCCAGGTCCAGGAAATCACTGCCACAGCACTGAGAAAGCAGTGATGCCAGATCTGACTTTTAAAAAGAAATTGGTCATCTGGATCTGCCTATACATTTCCTGATTTTCAAATAAGGCAACTAATTCACAGTAAGCAACAAAACACCACCTCAAACACAGGCAACAAAAATGTGTGTTTGTATGCAAGCCAAACAAAAACATACCTGTAGGCCCCACTGGTCCATGCATTCCATCCTGTGAGAACTCTGTCTTCAGAAGGAAAGGTGGTGGGGTAGATCACTCCCCTATATCTCTTACATCTTTGGGGCTCTCTAGGAATCTCCATTTCCTAAATAGTAGGAAATATTAATAGAAGGGTCATCAAAGGTCCATACAGTCAAAGTTATGGTTTTTCTAGTAGACATGTATGGATGTGAGAGTTGAACCATTGAACCGTGAAGAAAGCTAAGCACCCAAGAATTGATGCTTTCAAACTGTGGTGCTGCAGAAGACTCTTGAGAATCACTTAGACAGCAAGGAGATCAAACCAGTCAATCGTAAAGGAAATCAACCCTGAATATTAATTGGATGGACTGATGCGAAGCTGAAACTCCAATACTTTGGCTACCTGATGCAACTTTGGCTACTCATTGGAAAAGACCATGATGCTGGGAAAGATTGAGGGCAAGAGGAGAAGGGGGTGACAGAGTATGAAATGGTTGGCTGGCGTCGCCAACTCAGTGAACGTGAGTTTCAGCAAATTCCAGGAGATGGTGAAGGACAGGGAAGCCTGGCATGTTGCAGTTCATGGGGTCACAAAGAATCGATGCCTCTGCACAATGTTTGCTGAGTTGGCCTTGCTTAACTGAACAATCCAGAGACAGTGTAACATGTTAAATATTTTATTCACATTGTTTATAAACTGTATCCACCTGGGAAACACATGAATCAAAAAAATAGATTATTTTACAGTCATTCACATTTTTAAAAAACAAGTTACTTTTGATGTGAAACTCTAAGATGGAGGCCTTCTGTCCATCTTGTGGTTCAGTGCCTCGTCACATGAAGCTTCCTGCTCTGGGTAAGGGGTCCTGGGGGCAGTCCGCCTAGCTGGAGTCACTAATGGCTCACCTACCAGTGACTGATGAGAAAACATCAGTGCACAACATTCACTGGTGTAAATCTACCATCACTATTTTTGTCAAGGAAATATGCGTTTTAGAGCTTGTATACCCATCAGGTAGGAAAACAAAACAAGAGATTCATAGTTTAATTGGCTATTATAGAGCCATCAGGAAATTCCTAGCTCTATAAAGGTTTAATGTCTTGCCCACAGACAGAATCAGTGAATTATGATTTTATTGTGTTGACAGCTTGAACCATAGAAACAGCAGTGGTTTAGAAATTGATGCAAGTGTCTGTTGATTAACTCTTTGCACATCTGATGCTCCCTACCCTGGAGAAGAGGAGGAATAAATTCAGCAAGAATTAAGAATGTGTTTAATTTTAAGTGTGTTAGCCCCGATAGATGGCCATGGGGGTTTTGCTAAAAAGATCTGGTTAAGAAAGTTACTATGCTAAATCCAATTATGTATCAGCTTGATGGCTTAGCTCTTTTACTAATTAAGAAACTTTACTATAGAATTTGACTTTAATAATTTAAAATCTGTTTATCTTATCACATCTCACCCCCTCCTACTATGTTAACTACAAACTAATCACTTTTTTTTTTGCTTTGTGAGCTGCCACAGTTACCTATGTGAAAACTTTGGAGCCTTTGGGGTGGGAGCACCGGATGAGCCTCTAAGTGGCAGAACTGGATCCTTTTTCTCTGAGCAGCACTGATGGCCCTGGGCCTTGTGGTTCTGCAACTCTTCACTAGGGAAGTGATGTTTGATTAGGGTACCATAAAAGGTCACTCCCTCCTCGCCTTGGGTTAAAAAAAAAAAAAAGAATTGCTTAAGGGTTGCGGCCATTACCCCCAAATAGACAACAACAACTCTGAATCCAGACGTAAGCTGAGATGTGGAGAAATTTTATCAGCACGTTGGCAGGTTTTTTTGTTTTTGTTTTTTTTAAGGACTTTCCAATGTCTATTGCAATCTATTGTATGAAAAGACAGAAATCCATTAAATGAGCTGGATGATGGAGCAGATCATAGCTTGTCTTCCTGCCACCCATGTGCGTTTTTTCCAAATTTGTACACTAATCTTCGGTCAACCCGTTCCAAAATTCCAGTTTTATAGTAGTACCTGCGAAGACAGCAGAAGAGAAACATGGGGAGGCTTCACACCGAGGGGAAGCAACAACACAAGCACTCCCCTCATTCCTCTCAGGTGACGAGGCCAGCCCGTGGTTACCCTGGTATTTTCACACCCTCTTACCAACTTACACTTAAACCTTTCCCAGACATCTTGAAGACTGAACCTCACCACATGCAGTTCAAAATATGTGTGTGTGTGTGATGGCCTCAGAGTGATCCCCGGGGAACATTGCCAAGAAAGGCAAGGATGGCGTGTCAGTTTACAAACCCTAATCCCACCTGAAACTAAGACCCAAAGTGTAGCCTCATGACCTTTGGTTATCAAGCAAAAAGAGCCGTGTGATTTTCTGTGTGTGTGCTGCTGCTTCAGTCGTGTCTGACTCTTCCGCAATCCTGTGGGCTGTAGCCTGCCAGGCTCTTCTGTCCATGGGATTCTCCAGGCAAGAATACTGGGATGGGTTGCCATGCCGTCCTCCAGGGGATCTTTCCGACCCCGGGATCAAACCCGCATCTCTTACGTCCCCTACATTGGCAAGCGGGCTCTTTACCACTAGCGCCACCTGGGAAGCCCAATTTTCTACGGCTGACCATTTTATGTAACTGTGGCGGCAGACTCATGGCATTTTTCGTGCTGTTCACTTACCTCAGAGCTCTGCTCAGCTTTTCATATGTCATTCTGTCATTTTTCTTCCTTTGTCCCCACATCTTCGCCAGGGCTTCTGATTTAACCACCCGAAAAATACCTTGTTCCCTATCTTCCCATTCCAGAATGCCACAGTTTTCCTCAGGAGATAGAAGCAGATCTCGCACAAATTCCCATAGATGAGAACTCTGGAGGCCTTTAGGGAAGCAAAAAAAAAGTGAAAAAGTTAAAAAAAAGTTTTTGAGTCATACAACTTCTTATGAAACCATGAGAATTGCTCCTTCATGGAGTTATGTCCCAAAGTTATGACCGAGCACTCTACTTGGAGACTTACTGAGCTGTGAAATGTTCTCTTCTGCTAAAACAATTACAAAACACCCACAGAGACACCAAATTTATGGCAACCAGCGATTGGTTCATGAAGCTTCCCTGCTCTATGGAACTCCCGACCAATTCTTATGGAATTAATGGCATGGCATTCGAATGATGCTTTCATTCTTCTTTCTGACAAGCACGATGGTTCTACTGAGGCTCCATAGCTACAGCCATCTGGCTGGACTAATCCTACAGCTGTGTTTTTCATGAAAAACTGGTATTTCTCTTGTTCCATTGTATTGTAGTTAAAACTGACTCTGGACCTGGGTTTGGGTCCTGAACTTACCTCTTCTTGCTCTGTAACCAAATCTCTCTAATTACTATCTCTCTCAAATGGGTTAGTAAGAGTACCTATTTCATAGCACAGGTTAGAGGATCATGATTTAATGTGTTAAATGGTTAGACCCAAGCCCAGCAGGATTGACCTTGTAGATCTGTCTCAGTGCTGGGAAAGCTAACAGAATTGTTATTATCCTGGAGTATCTCTGAGAGAAGGATCCACAATAGACCAGGAGAAAAAACCCTTGTTTAAAGATTCAATCTGGCTAAAACATTTACTTACTTTAATTCTATTATGATTTCCAAGGGAAAAGAAAAATTTGATAACACTTATAAAAGTAATCATCAGTTTCTCTGCTGTATTATTTGGGAAATAACTAGTCCTGCTCAAACACTGGGTCTCAAAGCTTATTGAAGTAGATAACGTTGTCTCATGAATGGTTTCAAGAAATTAGCAATGACAAATGACATCAGTACACTTACTTGTTCGACTATGACTGTGACAGTCTTGACTTTTGATGCCACCTGTTTTCAAGCAACTGGAATCAGCATCTGCAACAGAGTGATTTACAGCTGCAGGAAGAAATCTAGAGGCTACATTCTGACCTTAAGCCACAAAAAATGAGCAGCTATTAACTGGACACCTTCGTGGTAGGAGACAGCTGGTGCTGGGTGTTCTGGGGATAATTAGTAGGTTTCAGGAGAATTTGTATTCAACACTGGGGCCCAACTGTGTGTCAGATTCCAGGCTCTGAGCTGGAAACAGAAAATGAACAAGGCAGACTTGGTCCTTGCTCAGGTAGAGGCTGAGGACTATAGGGCAAGGAAAATACGAGTGAAACACAAATCGCCTCTGTTGTAAGTGTTATGAAGGAACGAGGCATTAGACAGAGATGGAGGCAGGCGAAAGCCCCTGCTGCATCTAGATGGGGTGGCCAGGGCGGGTCTCCTGGAGGGGACACATTCATGCTAGTATCAGGAGGTGGGAGAGGGGTTCAGAGGGGAGGAGCAGCAGTGCAAAGCCTAGAGGACCGCGGGGTGCTAGGGATGGCGGGAGGTGTTGCCTCAGGGGCAGCGGGCTGCTGACAAGTCATGTGGGCACCTGGTAAGGGCGAGGGATTTTATTCAACCAGTGAAGACTTAGGACTTTGACAAGATCCACACTTTAAGAAGATCCCTCTGGCTAGCATGTGGAGAACAGACCAGAAGGGACACAGGGAAAAGCAAAGAGACTAAAGCTTATGAAGAGCAGAAAGCAAAGCATGAAATCAATGCAGGGTTAGATTAGAACTCAGGCTGTGGCAGTCTGAGACAGGGGTATAGTTTCATAATTATGGAACAACCTAAATGGGAAAAGAATTAAAAAGGAGAGGTACATGCATAGGTATAACTGAGTCGCTTTGCTGAAAACAACATTGTTTATCAACTATACACCAGCATAAAATAAAAAATCTGGCCTTCCATTTAGAAGCCACAGCTACAGGTCCACAGAGGTTTCTAGCAGGGGGTGGTCCTTCTCCTGTCAACAGGTAGAGTTTGCGGTTCCCACACCTCCAATGTGGGCGGTGAACGGAGCCCAGAATTCACGCTCTGAGACTCCCAAGGCTGGCAGGAAGACGTCACAGCCCAGGTCACGGCCAGCCCTGCAAGTGGAGTCTTGGAAGAGGATCCTCCACCCCTCTCCTCTGGCCTCCCTTCCCCCTCCCATCCCCACCTCCCTTCTCCAGGGTCTCCCCTCCCCCTCCTCAAACGCAGGACTTGGATGCCTTGCATGGTATGCAAGCCTCCCATGCGGAGCTCTGCCCAAATTGCCTGTTTGTATGTGAATAATAAATGTTGTTTGAGCCGCAAAAATAAAATTAAAAATAAAAAAAACCCAAAGTGTACATGATTAAAATCTGAAAGGTGGCAGCAGACCACCCCTCCCCACCCCCACATCGCCTTGCTCCCTCCACTCCAGCCGCAGTGGCCTCCCACCTCTTTCTGAAACTCACAGGTACCTCCTGCCTTGGGGCACGCGCTCCCTTGGCCCCGAGCGCTCTTCCCTGGGGTGTCCACGGGCTCACGCTCTCACCTCCATCTTTGCCCAAAGTCACCGTTTCAGGGAGGCCCTTTCTGACTGCCTGAGCCAGAAGTGCACACACTCATCCTACTCAACACCCCACGTCCTAGTTCTATTTTTTGCTGCCGTATATGTCACCATGGAACATATTATGTATTTATTTTGTTCACTGGCTGACTCTCCCCACTAGAGGGCAGGGGTTTGTGTTCCCATGTGTATCCCCAGAACCTTGCACAGTGCGGGGCATACAGTAGGTGCTCAATAAGTGCGGGGCATACAGTAGGTGCTCAATAAGTGCTGTGGCACAGTCATGTACTGTACTGCACTATTCTCACCATCCCTGCTGTAGGGAGGCGATGCTGTAACTCCTGCATGACAAAATAAGCATGCTGTCCAGGGACGGAGTGGTGTCCCGTGCACCACACCACTGCGCAGGGCGGCTGGCCTCAGTGACCGTGGGTCTTGTCACTCTGAGGGTGACAGCCTCCAGGGCTACCCTGTGGTCTCCCGGGCAGAGGCTGCCATGTTAGTCAGGCCTTTCACACCCAGACCTCCGCTTGGTTCTCCAGGTTTATCTCTTGCTGCTCCTCAACTCCATCCCTCCTCTTGGGTCAGAGGGTCCCAATAGGGCTTGACTCTCTCCTGCCTCAGGGCCTTTGCACAGGCTCCCTGCCTCCCACTTCCACCCAACTGACTCTGTTTTCACAAAACTCTTCAGGAAGTCTTCTTGGAACCTACCCTTCCCTGTCCCACAGCACCTGTGTGTTCCTCAGTGTCCAGCACTGGTCCCACCATCCCTCGACTGTAAAGGTCCACCTCGACTATCGGTCACCTGAACTGACAGCTGATATTCATGGAAAGTGGAAAGTGTTAACCGCTCAGTCGTGTCCGACTCTTTTCGACCCCATGAACTGCAGCCTGCTAGGTTCCTCTGTCCATGGGGATCGCCAGGCAAGAATACTGGAGTGGGTTGCCATTCCCTTCTCTAGGGGATCTTCCTGACCCAGGGATCGAACCTGGGTTCCTGCATTGCAAGCAGATGAGTGCTTACTAAATGCTAAGTGCTTGGTGAGGGCTTCACAGATAGTATCTCATTTCATCTTTGCCAACACCCCTTGAGGTATTATTGCTTTTCCCCTTTATTGAGGAGCAACTGAAGCCCAGAGAGTTTAAGAGTTTCACCCAGAGAGGTGGAGCCAGGACTCGGACCTAAAGCAGTTCTGTTCCAAAGCGGATGTTCACAACTATTGCTTCAGCGTGTCTCTCGTGGCAAGTGTTCAACAGATACTTAATGAATAGTTATTAAAGTCTGTTCAACATCTGCTGTGGCCAGGTGGTCACCCAATCTTAGCCACCCTTACGATGCATGTTTCTTACTTTCCCCACTTTACATATAAGGAGACAAAGGTGTCTCACTGGAGGTCCCTCACTCACAGGCTCCCGTGGGACCACACGAAACAGGGAACTTAGCCCAAGTGGGAGGGAACAGCCGGTGAACAAACCCATAGTGGTGATAAACGCAGTGGAGAAAGATGCAGTAGTAGCGTGAAGGGATCGAGGCGGTGGTGAAGGGGCTGAGCGACACTGCAATCATAACAAGAGCCAACAGAGAAAGCTCTTGGGCAAGAAGACAGCTGAGCAGGATAGACTGAGCCCTGGAGACGTTTGGGGAGCCTGCCTAACAGCAGAGCTGCGATCACGTCTAATTTTCTGGCATCGGAGCCCTCGGCCTAAGTAATGGCAGCACATCGTTCACTGGAACGAACAATGACATGAACGCGTGACTTCAGTGTTCGGGGTCCCGTCGGCCTCCCCTCTGCTAATTTCCTACGTTACAGCCTCGGAGTGTATCACTGTGGGAAAATAGGCCTGAGCGCACAGGCCAAACCACAACAAACGCTCAGGAGAGATCAGCTGACAGTGGAGATGCTGCCAAATGGAGGTGAACTCAGGTGAGCAGGGCTGATGGTCAGTTGATCAAGACGGAGAAAGGGCTTCACCCTCCTCTCAGATCCGGTGCCATGCTCTGAGGCGTCGCCTGCAGAGCAGACCTGGCCTTTGTTTTAATTTAATCTTTCAGGAAGAGAGAAAACAAATGGAGCGGTCAAGATAAACAAAGGTGAACTATTATCTGGACAACAGCTTTCACTGAAAGGCCCAAATGGCAAGAACAGGTGGAAGAGAGTCATGCTTTTAATTCTTAAGATTTCTCCCATGTGCTTTGGACAGAAGCTATGTGGCTGGATGGGATGGATGCAGGACTGATCAGCAAGAGGTGGGGTGGGTGGGACGGTGGGTGTTTCCACCTGTGGGTCTTGCCAGAGATAAACAGTCCTGCTGTATCCATTCCTACTTCTCAGCGGTGGATTTGGCGGTCGTCAAGGGTCAGCTAGGCTGGAGGCCCACTTGGCTGGGGGTGGGGATGGGGGCGCTGAAGCCATCACTGGGTGGCCACATTGAGGGAGGTTCCCATCCAAAGCTCTCCAAGGTGGCAGCAGGGGCAGCAGCATGGTGAACCCCACTCCCACCCCCAGCTTCTCTTCAGAGGTCTGCAGCGTCTGAGGGTCGCTCTCCCTGCCTCACAGTGACCTTTATCTTGAATGTGTCCCTGCAGCGGGGCTGTGCCTGACACGGGCCAATGGGAACAGGGCCCAGGCTATCTGTTGTCTGTGGGATTTGGAGAGGTTTGCTTGCCTTGAAACTGGAGACTGGTAAAGTGTGGCCAGAGGATAAGTTCCCTGACTGTCCTCCCGAAGCTGGGATAGAGACTGGAGGGGCAGTATCTACACTGAGCTTGTCACACACACGTCCCCAAGAGGCCAGCCGTCCAGTCACAATGCCTGCATCTCGGGCCAGCACAGGAGGTGCCTGGCAGCAAGGCTGGGCCTGCAGGCTTGGTTCACTGGCTCTTCTGAGGCGGGAGTGGGGCAGGGCCGGGGAGAGGAGAGAACAAGTGGAGAAGGGCTGGGGTGCATCCCTTGGGCCCCTTCTGATGGTTTCCTAGCTTGTTGGGTATAACTCAAATATCCCTTGTTCTCTGAATCATTGTGGTGCTGGGCCCAGACTCAGAGGAATCCTGAGTCCCAGGTCTCAACTGAGTGGACAGCAAAGTGAGCACAAGGGTCTGGGGGCACGTGTGCATGCATGTGTGTGCACCTGTGGGCGTGTGGTACAGAGCGTATAAGAGCATAGACCTTGAGGAGATGAGTTGGGATCTCAGTTCTGCAATGACTTGTGACTTGCAAGTTCCAGCACTTCCAGTTTCCTCAGCAGCAAATGGAGATAATGCTACTATCTAGTGAAGTTACTCAGTGGTAGAGATGTGGATGGGCCAAGAGACTATCATACAGAGTGAAGTCAGTCAGAAAGAGGAAAACAAATGTCATATATTAACACATACATGTAGAATCTAGAAAACTAGTATGGATGTCTTACTTGCAAAACAGAAATAGAGACACAGATGTAGGGATCAAACATATGGATATCAAAGGAGGAAAGTGGGGGATGGGATGAATTGAGAGATTGGGATCGACACCACTGATACTAAGTATAAAATAAATAACTAATGAGGAGCTATTGTGCAGCTCAGGGAACTCTACTCATTGCTCTGTGGTGACCTAAAGGGGAAGGAAATCCAAAATAAAAGAGGGGATATATGTCTACATATAGAGGATTCACTTTGTGGTACAGTAGAAACTAACATAGCACTGTAAAGCTACTATACTCCAATGAAAATTAAAAAATAAAAATAAATAGTGAAATTATGATGAGGATTGTGGTGTTGGAGAAAACTCTTGAGAGTCTCTTGGCCTGCAAGGAGATCAAACCAGTCAATCCTAAAGGAAGTCAGTCCTGAATATTCATTGGAAGGACTGGTGCTGAAGCTGAAGCTCCAATACTTTGGCCACCCGATGGGAAGAACTGACTTACTGGAAAAGACCTGATGCTGGAAAAGATTGAAGGCGGGAGGAGAAGGGGACGACAGAGGATGAGATGATTGGATGGCATCACCGACTCGATGGACATGAATTTGAGCAAGCTCTGGGAGTTGGTGATGGACAGGGAAGCCTGTCATGCTGCAATCCATGGGGTTGCAAAGAGTTGTACATGACTGAGAGACTAAACTGAACTGAACTGAAATAACTTAATGTACATAGGATACTTGGCTTGGCAGCATGCTGGGCACGTAGCAAGGGCTTCACAAATGGCCACCATAGCTATTAATTTAATCTTACAGTTATTGAAGATGGATGGGAACATTGCCTGAAGCCCCCGGATGCCACTTTGTCCCGGTTGGTCAAGCCCCCAGACCAGGACCTTTGCATGGGTCTCAGTAACCAAGACCAACCTTCATCATCATTAGCTTTAAAAATTGAAAGCTCCAAAAGCTCCCTTTCCTAAACCTTCTCCATCTGCGGAAGTGAAACCATGAGGGTTAATTTTCAGTCAACAAGGCCATTTGAGATCCTCCATTGCCTTATAATTATAAATGTGATCTGCTTAATGAGCTCTGATTTTTAGACATTATCAACCACAAGGCCTCTAATGGTTGGTAATTTATATTATGATTTTTACTGCTAATGGGTACCAGTATTTGGAGTAACTATTCTGCTGGCATAGGTTAGGCACTTTATCTGCACTGTTACTTGAACTCATCATGACCCAGTGAGGGTCCGACTATTTTATAGACAAAGAAATTGAGTCTGGGGGAGGATAAAGAAGCCACAGACCCAAGCCCCGTGCCCTGTCCACCATGTTTCACCCGCCATCTTCTCTTAGTCTCCCACTGTTTCAGGTTGTCAGCCTTTGAGTGAAGTCCTACAAGGACCATCAAGCCCACGTGCACTACAATAGGCACCGCACAACACTATGAACTTGGTTACTCACAGTCTTTGAGGGTGGCCTTGGTCTCATCAGGATCATTAAAAAAGGAGTAACCTGGGAAAGAAAAAGAAATCCATTAACCATGGCATACAACCCTGGTTTCTGTGGCCAGGCCAGAAGGGGAGGTGCTGCGGAGAAGGGGGGTGATTTTATCCTCTGCGAGGTAGTTTTCCTTCCTTTCAGAAGGAAACTTGGAGACTACCTGGCCCATATAGGTCCTGGCTCGGGGTCGGGAGGCTGAGCTCTGCACTGGTCTGAGTCACTGACCCTTGTGCAGACTTGCCAGTCACCCAGCCTCCAGGCGTGTGTGCCTTCCTGGCAACATGTGACAAAACCACCCTGACCACCCTGTTGGCTGTGTCTGTGATCTGGGACGTGACATGCTGGTCAAGAATGGACACAGGAGGCCTTAAGAAACCCAATGTGACGATTCAAAGAGCAGTCTGGAGACTGGTGGTTTTTTGAAGGGTGGGGTGGGTTTGGGCTGGATCAGGACTTTCAGATCACGTTTTCACGTGGCACCACAGGCCGGAGGACATCCATTTTCTAATGTGGCGTCCAGTGTGAGGGCCAGTTTCGGTTTACTGAGAAGACGGGAACAGGGCACAGCTGTGACTGCTGACTCCTAGGGCCGCTGGTTCTTGGAATGACTGGTTCTGGTCAGCCATGCACTGTCCCTTCTTCCCAAGAACAGGCGGGGTTGCCGGGTTCCTCTCCTGTGCTGGGGAGCCGCCTCCTTCCTCCGCCCTTCCCACCGACCCCACCCTCGGGGACCAGGGTCCCTCTGATTCTGGGCCCTTAAATCCCACTGCAGTACCTGTGGGGCCAGACCACATGCTGGGGATAGAGCCCCCCTTTGACTCCTCTCCCTGCCAAAACTTGGTCCGTTTTCTTTTCTCTCAGAGCCCTAACTACGGGGTCATATAAGGCCTAAACTGGCCTTCTCAAGTGGTGCTAGAGGTAAGGAACCCACCTGCCAGTGCAAGAGACATGAGATGTGAGTTCGAAACCTGGGTCGGGAAGATGGCCTGGTGGAGAGCATGCAGCCCACTCCTGTATTCCTGCCTGGAGAATCCCATGGACAGGGGAGCCTGGCAGGCTACAGACTACAGGGTTGCACAGAGTCAGACACGACTGAAGTGACAGCATGCATATACGCATGCAAGGCCTAACCTAGGTAATAACCAGTTTAACATATAACTTATAGTCCAAACAGGGACTCTTTTGAGAATGGAAAATAGAATAACAGGTGAAGACACTATGTCCTGGGCAGATTGGGATACTGGAAACTTTGGGCACAGTACCTGCATTTCAATACACTGTACACATTCCCGCCCAAGGAACATTAAATAGATATCTGAGAACAGAGCAGGCTGATGGAGTAGTCTCACTGCTCAACATGATAACTGCCCTGGCCTGCAGGCTGCCTGAAAGTCCATCACTGGGGGTGGCTTTGGGGCTCCTAGGATCCTTTAGAATAAGAAAAGGCAACTTGTGGCCTGTTTAAAAACCAGCTGGTTTTTCACTTATCCATTTTGCACAGACCTTGAGGTGATGGGACCAGGGACAGGAACGTTTTGATGTAATAATTGCCTGGAACAGAAGGGCCCCAGAGGGGAGATCCCAGCACAGGACCTGCAGTGGCCTGGAGACAAACGTTATTGACTTGACCTTTGACTGAGGCTGGCAGTGCCAAGCTGCATCTTCTCCTAGGATGGGATACTCTTCTCTGTGGTTCTGGGATTTTTGTGCAAGGCTGGTCCCTTGGGAGTGTTCCGAATGGAGCCTACCTCCTCCCTGAGATTCTATGATTTGCTCAGATTTGCCTTGTTTCTAGGAAGGCCCATTCTGTGCAGACCACTGATACTGGTAGATCACTAGCACTGGCAATAGTCAAGTATGGACTGGAAATCAAGGGACAGCAGGTCTGTTTGTCTCTTCCTTGCCCTCAAGAGGTGATGGTTCCTAGGGCAGAAGCCAAGCAGTGCCTGAGGGCCCCTGTCCTGGGCTTTTGTTCCCTTAGGCACACATGATGGGGGAGATCAAGGTGGGGGCAAAGAATCTTAGAGCTGGAAGGTCCTCTTTGGGTTCCTGTCCACATAGGAATCCCTGTCACAGCACCTCCATCAAGTAAGGTACCATTAGGTTGCTTGATTACCCCTGGTGATGGGGAGCTTCCTACCTATGATAACTTTGAAACAGCCTTTTTATTATTTTTTAATTTGATTTTTATTTTTTTAAGCACCAAAAACATTTTGTATTGGAGTATAACTGATTAAAAATGTTGTTATAGTTTCAGGTGAACAGCGAAGGGACTTGACCATCCATGAAACAAAAGAAGGTGCTTTTAGAAATGTCTCCTTAAATTGAGCTGAAATGTGTTTCCTTTATTTATTAAATTATTTCTGCTTCTTGGTTATACTCATGATGACAAAAGCAGGTGTCATTCACTGTATTTGCTTCCTTAACTGCTTATGCCAGGTAATGTTTCACTGAATCCTGTCAAGAAGGCTGAGGATGTGTGTATCATTACCCCACCCTAGAGGTGAGACAATGGAGATTCACAGAGGTTTAACCATGTGCCAGAGGTCCTGTGGCTCTGATGTATTAGAGCCAGGGTAGGAACAAAGGTCTTTCTGATCTCACAGCCCTTGCTTGGTGCTGACTTTCCATGAATCAGCCTTGTTTTCTGTGTGACCCTGGAGAAGTTACTTAACAACTTGGGACCTCAGTCCCTTTATCTGCGATATGGGGAAACAGAATTATATGTTCTCAAAAGGCCTTTCCAGATTTAAAAAAACCTGTCCATATACGTTCTACTCTTTCAGGGCATGTGTGTGCATGTTAAGTCTCTTCAGTTGTGTCTGACTCTGCACAGCCCCATGGACTGTAGCCCACCAGGCTACTCTCTCCATGGGATTCTCCAGGCAAGAATACTGGAGTGGGTTGCCATGCCCTCCTCCAGGTGATCTTCCCAACCCAAGGATTGAACTCCCATCTCCTATGTCTCCTGTATAGGCAAGAGTGTTCTTTACCACTAGTATCACCTGAGAAGCCCCTTTCAGGGCATGAAGTGAAAGTCGCTCAGTCGTGTCCGGCTCATTGTGACCCCATGGACTATACAGTCCACGGAATTCTCCAGGCCAGGATACTGAAGTGGGTATAATACTGGAGTGGGTAATCTATCCCTTCTCCAGGGAATCTTCCCGACCCAGGAATCGAACTGGGGTCTCCCTTATTGCAGGCAAATTCTTTACCAACAGCTATCAGAGAAGACCCCCTTTCAGGGCATGTGATGTGTTAAATAAAGATACTGGCGCCGCCTTGTGGCCATTTGCTCCTTGCCCATTAGGAATGTGATGAAAGGAAAGTGCAATTAGTTGAGCCTCCCTGGAAACAGGGAAGGTAAAGGGTCTAGTTAATTTTCTTCCACTGCTTAATGAAAGGTTAAGCTGAAGTCTCTTTCTGTTCACTTTTTATGGCTACCAGTCTTTATGAACATAATATTTTGTTGTATCAGCCTGGTTCCTGGGCAATCCCTGAAGATGTTTTAGTTTTCTTTTTCTTTCTTTATTTTTTGAAAAAAATGGACTCAACTTACTTTCTTGGTACTCACTCTATTTTACCTCCAATCTCTGATTCTAGTGTGCTAGCGATTCTAGAGAGAAGGCAATGACACCCCACTCCAGTACTCTTGCCTGGAAAATCCCATGGATGGAGGAGCCTGGTAGGCTGCAGTCCATGGGGTCGCGAAGAGTCAGACATGACTGAGCGACTTCACTTTCACTTTTATGCATTGGAGAAGGAAACGGCAACCCACTCCAGTGTTCTTGCCTGGAGAATCCCAGGGATGGGGGGTCGCACAGAGTCGGACACAACTGAAGTGACTTAGCAGCAGCAGCAGAGATTCTAGATATGGAAAGGCCTGGTTAGTAGAGGATCTGGGTTAACAGTTGCGGTTAATAAAATATCACCACGTGAGTCCTGTGGTGGGGCAGGACCTCAGAGGTCATCTGGTCCCAATCCCGAGCCCCTGTCCTTGAGGCCCCGTGCTCTGGACACTGACCTTGTGAGCGGATGCTCTGGAGGATAAAGTATAGATACTCCCCGCAGACGCCGGCAGCCTCCATGAACTCCTCCTGTGTCATGCCACACAGCTGTAGGCCACTGATGTTGAAATGGCAGAAAGAGATGCAGTTGGCGTCCAGCTTGTACTGGTCGCAGCAGAACTGGAGCCATTCCCAGACGTGGCGCTTCGTCCAGTACTCGGGGTGGACGGACGTCCAGTAGGAGTCGCAAGCTGCACCAGGAAGAGAAAAGTGAGGGATGGCAGCTGGGAGAGGATTAGAAGCCCCCCAAAGGAGGCTCTGATTTTGTTAACATCCTCATCCTCTGTCCGGTGAGTCAAAGGGTCCTCCATCCTGGGGTGTTTTCCTGGAACCCTAGTAACCTTCTATCCTGAAGTGAAAACCAGAGGCATCCTGTGTGTAGACTTATTGGCAGAAGAGAGAATGAGAGGGGTGAGAAACCTGATTATGGCTTGGGAGTACCTTGAAGGGGGGGGTCACTAGGGGAGAAGGAAAGAAAAAGGCCATTCAGGTATTTGGTTTCAGACAACATGACATCAAGAGTACAGACTTTAGAGCCTGACAAGCCTGGGTTTTAATTCCGGTTCCAAGATTTTCTACTTGGGCAAGGTCCACAGATATTTAAGCCTCAGTTTCCTTATCTGTAAAATGGGGATAATATGCTCCACTCACAGGGCTGTTCTGGAGTTTGTGGTTAATGTATATAGACTATATGGAGCATAGAAAATTATCGATCAATACTTATTAAATACCTGTGGTGTGCCAGGCACCATTTGAAGCTGATTTGATTCCCTCTGCTTTTATGGACAGCTGCCCCACACTGGCTACTGGTTTGCGTGTTGTCTCTGGCCATCTTGGGTTGCTGAGATGTTGCCCAAGTGTTTGGCAGACCATGGATCACCAGAGCAGGCTTCTCTAGGGGATGGGGGAGGTGGAAGTGTTGGTTGTATTGCTGTTCTTATGTTTTTGGTGGTGTTTTGAGGAATTTCTATCCCAAGGCCAGATCCCCTTCACTCCTTCATTGAAGCCCCCTATGCTCCCAGACAGAGGTGGGCACCATACAGTCCAAGAGGCTGAGAGGTGGCTGTGCCTGACCCAGGGGCACAGATGGGTGCTCAACAGACTGTCCCAATGCCAGGAGAAACTAAAAGGTTGACAGATCAGGTGTGGAAGAGGTGAGGGACCAGGTTCTTGGTCAGGCACTTTGACAAATCTTGCAATTATCATGGTACTCATTCATTCATTTGTTCATTCATTCAAAAAGCTTCAATTTTCTCATCAGTAAAATGGGGATAATGATAGCCCCTATATCATATGGTCATTCTGTGGATTAAATGAGTTAATACATATACAAGTACTTAGAAAAGAGTCTAGAAGATTTTTTAATGCTATTATTAACATAAAGGTCCATATAGTCAAAGCTATGGTGGTTATCCAGTAGTCATGTACAAATGTGAGAGGTGGACCATAAAGAAGGCCGAGCACCAAAGAATTGATGTTTTCAAACTGCGGTGCTGGAGAAGACACTTGAGAGTCCCTTAACAGCAAGGAGATCAAACCAGTCAATCCTAAAGTAAATCAACCCTGAATATTCATTGGAAGGACTGATGTTAAAGCTGAAGCTCCAATACTTTGCCCACCTGAGGTGACAAGCTGACTCATGGAAAAGACCCTGATGCTGTGAAAGAGTGAGGGCAGGAGCAGAAGGCGGGTGACAGAGAGTAAGATGGTTGGATGTCATCATCGACTCAATGGACAAGAGTTTGAGTTAACTCCAGGAGACAGTGAAGGACAGGGAAGCCTGGTGTGCTGCATTCCATGGGGTGGCAGAGAAATGGACACAACTTTGTGACTTAACAACAACAAAGATTATCACTGAACACCTACCATGTATGAAACAACAAATTGCGAGCTAAGGATTCATGATGAATAGGAGGTTTGGTTCCTGTCCCCCAGGAGGTCACAGATGAGAAACCTGAGGGTCACAGTGGACCTGCTGAATGTCTCACAGCCAGTGGTGGGCAGAGTTGGGATATGAACCCCTGTCTGAACTCGAAAGCCAGTGCTCTTCCCATTCTATCATGCTGGTGTTCAGAGGTCAGTACAGAGAAGAGATGAAACACGGGAGGAGAATTGGAGGCTGGAGGAGAGCCAGAGAGAAGGAGAGGGCTGAGGAGAAAGGAGCGGGCAGAGTCAGGCAGAGGTCACTGGTGTAGGCTGTGTGGATGACAGAGTGTCTCTCACGAGTTAGACCCCACAGTAAACGGCAGCGAGGCTATTATGATTCTCCCTTTAAATGCTGAATTTGCTGCCACTATCCCCAAATGAACTGTGGCAATTCTAATATCAGGCAGGAGATGGCTTCTCTGCCCCTAAGCACCCATTTGTGTTGGTCAGGCTGCTATGTGCCCTGACCCACACCAGCTTTGCTTCCTCAAATCCTCTCACATGGGTAACAGGAAGAAACTGAGGCTCCTCTTAACTCAGAGCCCTTCCAGAAATTTCTTTTCCTACCATGCAGTGGATTGAGATCAAACTTGAACATTAGGTTTGTTATAGACTCGGGTCTTTGGACTCTTTAATCAATAGAAATTGATAAGAGACCAAACCAGGAATTCAGACAAGGCTTTCTTATGATTTGTGCTGCAGCACGACGGAATGAGAACAAGAAACAGGTGTCCCTGCTAGATGCTGGAGGAGGGTCAACCTGGTCTCTTAAGTGGGGTGAGGGAGGGGGCGAATTGGTGGGTCAGGCTGGAGGGGTGGTTTAGGTGGTCTGCCCATCCCCTTGGAGGAGCTGAGCCGAGGGATCACGCACGGTGCCTCAGAAATGGTGGTTGGGTTTTGGCCTTTTTGCATTTTATTGTTTATCATTTAGGGCTTCCCTGGTGGCGCAGGCAGTAAAGCATCTGCCTGCAATGCAGGAGACACGGCTTTGATCCCTGAGTCGGGAAGATCCCCTGGAGAAGAGAATGGTTATCCACTCGGTTTCTTGCCTAAAAAATTCCATGGACAGAAGGGCCTGGTGGGCCTGGGCTGCAGTCCATGGGGTCACAAAGAGTCAGACAGCACTGAACGACTTTCACTTTCCCATTTGCCCCAAGTATGCATGCCTGCAGTTATTTATAGTCCCTTAATAGTTTTTGTTTGTTTTTTTTTGGTATTTTATGTTGGAGATGTTTGTCTGCGTGTAAACACTACAGCAAAGGATCCCAGATCTTAGGTTTGTTTAAGTTTTTAATCAGAGTCGCTATCTGGCCAGGATGGTGGAGGCTGATGTTACTGGATGAGGAGAGACCCCGATCAGTCATGGGGTGGGTGGGGTGGGGCTCCAGGGTCTCCTGGGAAAAATCTCTGGTGGCCTTGTCCCATCTAGCCTGTGTTTCCATGTGCTGAGTTCTGGCCGGAGTAAACCTGGGGCCTCACCTCCCTGGTATTCCCATGAGAGACTTTTATGAACCTTGGCAATTCTTCCGCCCCAGTCCTGAGCTGAACCCCACCAGGGGTACCTATCTAGGCGCTGCCGTTGGAGGACACTCTTTCTTTCCAAGGAGAGTGTCGCCAAGTCTCCAGGCCCCTCCCCGCTCCTCAGCTCCACCCCCGTGTTATTTGCTCTGGCTCTGGGAGATGGCCATGGCCGTGTTATTTCTGGAGGCCAGCGAGCCTGAAGGATTCAGAGAAGTGTCATGGACACTGGGAAAGTATCGCTGGCTCCACCTTCTTCCCCTGGCTCTGTCTGCCCCGAAGCTCCCCACAGGGCGGGCTTTGTGTGGCTCCCGCCCCTGGAGGGAGGCCAGGGCCGGGGCCAACATGGCGGCTCTTGTCACCGGCTGAGTGCCTCTCACGGCCCCCAGAGTGGAGAGAGAAGTGGCTGTTCTCGGCTCTGTGGAGGGCGAAGAGCCAAGATGGTGGGAAGACTTTTGGTTGTGGGGTGTTTGTGCCATCCTGTCTTCTTCCTCCTCACTCTGTCCGTCCCCACCCCTCCCTCAGCATTGCCTCCAGCCCTAGGTCTTTTCACAGGCACTTCTGGTCACTTGGGATGGCATCAACCTGTCTTCTAATTCCTGCTCATCCTCAAGAGCACAGCTCACTGCCCCTCTGAGGGAGGCCCGCCCTCCTCACCCCAGCTTAGGGGTCCTCCTGTCACCTCCCTCCTCGGGGTCAGCTCTGCTTTGTTAAGCTGAGTCGGGTGGGCTGGGAGCTGGCCTAGCCCCCTGTGGGTGCTTGGGGAGTGAAATGACCCGCCTGGGGCCCGATAGCTATTGTCATCACTTCACAGGGAGGAAACTGAAGGCCTAGGAGGTTACGCGACTCTACTAAGGCCGCATGGCTGGTCAGTAAGGGAATTAGGCCCCCGCTAAACTCTTCCATCTTTGCACGTGGGAAGTTTGCATCACATTTGCCTCCCTCTTCTTGGCTGACAGGGGCCAAACTGGACACACAGGCTAAACAATTTGGATGAAGGTATATACATAGAAGGGGCTTCCCAGGTGGTGCGTGGTCAAGAATCTGCCTGTCAATGCAGGAGAAGTAAGAGATGCGGCTTCAGTCCCTGGGTGGGGAAGATCTCCTGAAGTAGGAAATGGCAACTCCCTCCAGTATGCTTGCCTGGAAAATTCCATGGACAGAGGAGCCTGGTAGGCTATAGTTTATGGAATCTCAAAGAGTTAGACACAACTGAGTGACTGGGCATGCATGCACATATATATATATATATATATATATAATTAAATTAAAATATATGTACATATTTTATATAAATACTTATATAGTACAGTGCATGTATGTATATTTATATATTTTATGTTTCACATATATATTTATATATATATATAATGTATATATATAACCTAGGTTTGAAAAATCAGAGGAAGGATAGAGAGACTGATGATAACACTGTTTGAATGACATGAAGACCATTTTACTACTTGGAAGAAATGAACTCAGAGAAAATAAAAGACAGGGTAATTCACCCAGAGAATATATTATCTTCAACAGGTTGTACTGTCTGGAAATGTAAAGTGTTTTCCTCAACATGTGTACCATTCACAAAATAGTCTAGACTTTATAGAGAAACTGTGCCACGAGGCACTTCTGCCTATGTTTACCAGTTGGGGACAGATGACAGCCCATGTCTGGTAGACTTAATCCGAAGGTCCCCAGGCCTTGATTACACAGCAGGCTTGGCCAGCTCCTTTGAAGTTGGAACTAG